GAATGGTAAAATAGAGATAGAGTGAAGAAAAGGGGTCCCTATGTCCTCCAGCAGTCTAAGTCTATAGCAGTACAAGCTGAGAAAATAATATAAGAGGTATAAGAGAGGTAGAGCCATAGTGTGGCCAAGGTAGAGCCAAGTGCAGACATGCATATAATAGTGTAATATCAAATTAAGCATCACTGTTATTGTCTTGATGTTGCATAATTAGAATAGAGCTTTGTACGATGGAGTATTACAGGGTCCTAAGGGCATAAGCTTTTTTTTAAGTAATTTTTTTATAAAAATAAAGTTGTAATATAACTTGAATGAATATGAAAAAGCATTAGAATATTATAGTGAAGTTGTAATAATAACATATTAAATTCTTTTCACAAGACGAAAGCTTTGAAAACTCACTGAAACTGCAACCTGAGCTGTTCTTCCTTTGCAGACATTAAGTTATTGCCATTGGAACGTTTTTTCTCATAATTTTGCCACTTTCTTCTCATACTTCTGTTACCATTGCCAATCTCATAGACCTAATTTAATGGCTAATCTTGTAAAATATTACTTTATGTTTGTTATAAAAAAAAACAATAACGTCTGTAAATATGGCCAGTATTAGAGTAGCAAACATTTTGCTGCAATGCATATGTAGATTGTAAACAATGCATCTCTCTGGGGTGTGCACGCAATGTTAAAAAGTCTTTAGTGCTGGTTTGGCTACAGAACATGTCACATAAACAGAGTGATGCTTGATAAATATTTTCCCTGCATACTCCCATATATTCATTCATACTAAAAGAAAGACAGATGTTTTAGCTTTAAGAGAGTTTTAATCATCTACTTGAATCCAGTTTGAAGCTGTTTTATTTTCATTACAGCATCTGATTAAGAATATTATCCTTTTAAAAAAATAAACAAAGGCCTTTTTTAATTACCATGACTCTCTTTTGATGTTTTGTGAGTAAGAAATAATCCTCAACTGGAATTATGTCATTGACTTTTATTATAAGAGGAAGAGGAAGCTGTTAGCTTCTCCCAGTTTATTTAATTATGCGTGGAAAGTGTGTGAAAAGGCTGTTTATGCATGGTGTGATGTTTTGTTTCAGTTGAAGATGAAATGATTATGAATGTAAATGGTAATGATGGTGACTGTGTGGGAGTGTATGTGATTGTGTGTGGCAGCTGCAGAGATGGCACAGACAGGAAGTGAAGCATTGATGCCGACAGGCTGCTGAATGTGTAGGAGGAGGCTATTTTAGGACTGAGCTGTGGAAGGACAGGGCTCATGAAACATCTGAATGTCTGTGAGTGAGTGTGTGTGTGTGTGTGTGTGTGTGGGGGGGGGGGGTATGTGAGTGTGAATGATTCAGTATGCAGTCTAATGGCTGCAGGTAATGCTTTTAGTGACCTTCAGACTCAGATAATTTTATCTTTTTAGCCAAATCAAATAGAACATGCTTGGGAGTTGTCATGCTCTTAGTGTGGGTAGATTGTATGCTTGAGTGGGTGGGGAATGGACAGGTCAGCAAGAGAAGAGGAGGACAGATGGATTCTGTTATTTGAAAAGAAAAGAGGGACAATGAATAAAAAAAAAATGGGGATAAATGCAAAAGACATAACAGCAAAGTGGGGTTATGTAGAAGGCTGCACTTGTATGTGCAGGTGTGTGGGATTCGACAGTTCTCAACAGTGACGTAGTGCAAAACGCAGACAACGAGGGGGAAGAAAAGGAGGAGGCTGCAGAGAGTCAGATACTCTTAAGATGCACCATTATAGGGGGACTAAATTAACATAATTTTTACATCTTTTTACAAAGATATTTAAATTTACAGATATTACAATTTCTAATATTGGTAGGATAAAACTTGATAAATAAAACAAGAATATAAAAGAAACAAACAAAAAAGTGGATCACATAGATAAACAACTATATAAATAAATTATAACTGTTTTTGACTTCAGAGCAGAAATCACTGATTATGTGTAAAATTACTTTTATTTATTTATTTTTCAAAACAATAATTGTAACAAGAGGAACTATAAGAAGCAAATATTCAGCCAGACGCAAGCTGTGCATTTGAAAACAGTTCTCAATAGAAGTTCATGAATGCAGGCAGGCAGATTGGTAGCTGGTAGGTGGAGACTGAATGTTGCAGGCTTGATTAAGCAGATAAAGGCAGAACCCACTGTTGACAGGATGAACTGGCTGATTTGCAGAAAGAACTGAGGAAGAAAATCAGGGATGGGATGAACAGCTACACGAAGAAGATGGAGAATCAGCTGCAGCAGAGCAAAATTAGAGGGATCTGGAAAAGCCTGAAGACAATCTCAAGCCAAAATCAAAACACAGAGACTTTTGGAGACTTGAAGTGGGTTAACAATCTGAACCAGTTTTTCAACAGGGTTTTGACCAGCCTGTGAAGAATTCATTGGATCCACTGCAGTTTGCCTACCTCCTGGGATTGGGGCAGATGATGCAATCATCTCCCTCCTGCAACAAGCTCTGGCTTACGTAGAGAAACCTGGAAGCACTGTGAGGATCATATTCCTCCAGTGCTTTCAAAACCATCCAGCAAGGACTCCTGAGGGACAAGCTGGGGCTGTCGGGATTGGACCAGCACATGTCCAAGAGGATTCTGGACTTCCTCACTGGCCGCACACAGGGCTTTATCCCAGATAGGTTGGTTTGCAGTCCAAGGTCCTACAGCGAACATTGCTGGCACCGTTCCTCTTCACCCTCTATGCTGCAGACTTTATCAACTCCCCATGCTGCCACCTCCAGAAGTTTTCTGACGATGCTGCTACAGTTGGCCTCATCACAGGTGGGGATGACTCAGAGTACAGACTTTGTGGTCTGGTACCAGCAGAACCACCTTCTGATTAATGCAGGGAAAACCAAGGAGCTAGTGGTGGACTTTCGAAGAAGGAGATCCAACACTATGACACCGGTGAACAGACATTGAGATAGTGGACTCTTATGAGTACCTAGGTGTTCATCTGAATAACAAACTGGACTGGACTCACAACACTGAGGCTCTGTATAAAAAGGATCAGAGCAGACACTTCCTGCTGAGGAGACTGAGGTCTTTTGGAGTGCAGGGGGGGCTCCTAAAGACCTTCCTAAAGACCTTCCCACCATGTGAGAAGAAGTGGAGGTGTATAAATATCTTCATGTTCAGAGCAGTACTCCAGGAAGAGGCTGAAGTCTTTTAGCGTTTGTATCTAAACGCTGCATATCTTCTTTGTCAGAGGTACTTAAGCCCAGTCCTCCAGAGCTACCATCCCGCCACATCCTCTAAAACACTGAACTAAATTACATACTGGGGGAATTCAGCAATATATGTGTTTGCATAAAAAAAAGGCATAATGGTATCTCTCACTGGACTTGGGCATTCCTGTTCTAGGTCCAGTAGGGAGAGTGTGATCTCTTCTGCCATCTTCTGTTAGGGTAACAGCATCAGATGAGATTACAAGCTGATAAAGAAGGTTGGTTCTGCTCTGGGACTCCTCTTTAACCCTAATAAAAGAAAGAGCGTTATGGAAAAAACATTATATTTAAACATATAGAACATAAAATTTCTGTTCATTAGACTGTCTTTGGTCAGATTATCTGGATTCAGTGCAAGACAGACCACTAAGGAAAATAACATATTCAACCACTCACTGAAATAAACCTGGAATTAAAACATTTGACTCCCACTTGGGATCAATAAAGTATTTGTAAAATCATTCATAGCAGTATCAGACCAGGGCTTCATCAGCTGTCAGAGTGGATCCTGGTCTATTTCTCAAAGCGCTGTAGCATATTGTACATCTTAACAAATGTTTGCGTATTTCATTGATTCTTAGTGTTTTGAAAAATTGGTAAATTCTCTGCCAGACATAACAGTACTGTCATGATCTTGGCACTGATGACTGGATTATTGGTTCATTTCTTCCACCTGCTTAGCTCTGCCCAGTTTTCATTTTCACTCATCAGATCCACCTGTTCCAGTTCCTATTTAAAGTGCTTGTTCTCAGCCATCATTGCCATACTATTTGAGCCGTGTGTGAGCGTTCTCTAGTGTACCCAGTGTGTTTCCAAATACCTGATCCTGACTAGATTTTGCCTTTGGACTTCTGAGTTTTTGCTTGCCCCTGTTTTGATCTGTTTTGCCTGAGCTATCCTAGGACTCTTTGGATTCTCCCTGCTTATGACTTTGGATCCGTCTCCTGAACCAGGCGTGGATTTCCCTTTGGTATCGCTTCGGATCTCCGGATACTTCTGCTCTTTCTCATCAACTGGCTTCTGCTTGTTGGTCTGCTCTGCAGCACCTTTGGCTTCAACTCCTGGAACTCTCTGGGTTCCACTCCTTTCTCTGAGCTCAGACTGAACTTAAAAACCCGAGATTCTAGTCACCCTATACCAGCTGATTAGCCGCAGATCACAGAGCAGTAAATAAAACACTTTTAGAAAATCACTTTCGTTCTGTCTGCCTGAATTCTGGCTCCTACACTCCTGACAAGCAGGCTGTCCTCAGCCAATAACCAAATAAATAAATTTGAACCAGATGGGGGGTCACGCTCAAGGAGTTGTGCAAAAAGTGGCCCAGGTTTGGTGTGATACTGAAGTTTGGGTACTCTGATCAAAAAATAAAATCATAAGCAACATGCCTGAATACAAATGAAAAGGGAAATGTGAGAAAAATAATGAAACGTGAACCTTTAAGTTTCCTTTGTTCTCAAGTCTTAATTAAGTTAGAATGATTTAATACGTTTCGCTGCAGCTGGAACCAAGTCAGATAATACAGACTTGATTTAGAATAAGAATTATGAATTTAAAAGCACCTGTGACAACAAATAATCCTTATCAGCACTTGTTTCCACTTTACCAAAACAGAATGAATATCAATTTTAGCTTGTTAAATATACTTAAGTTAGCTGTTAATAAAATGAAATCTGATTATGTATGATTTGACCTCACAGGTGTGTAACTGTGTGCAAGTTAAAAAAGAAGCAGACTGGAGGATAGGTATAATGCATTCTCTCTGGTTTATTCTGGTTCTTTAGGAAGAATTCAGTTTTAAATTACAAAATGCACTCTTAGAAACAGCAGGATAGAGAAAGAAACTGAGGAAGAGAAAGAGATGGTCAAAGAAAGGGAGAAAAAGAAGGGACTTCATAGCCAGAATAAATGGGAATAACATCACCAGATTCAGTTTCAGGCAACTCTTTACTCTCAATGGGATTGTTTTTCATCAAAGAAAAGCTATGTATGCATTGTCCCACTGTTTAAAATCCTCTGTTCTTTTTTTTTTTTTTAAACCCCTTACAGTAAAGTGTTATCTAACTTTGTTGCCCCGCAGTTTCCCCCCAGTGAAAGAACTGGCAAATATAACAAACATTCTTTGATTTCATCACCAAAATCATTTCCATTTTTTGTCATAACTTTTTTATTATATATTTTTTAATCTTTTTTTTTTTTGCAAAGTTTTTTCACATTTTTTGTTTTTAAAAATAGAAGAAAAGGAAACACATTGCTCTTAAAAACATCTATCTCTATATATATATATATATATATTTTTTTTTTTTTTACATATATATCCTTTTTTTCTTTAAATTGAATATCTTTTTTTAGTTCCTGAAGTTGATTTGTTAACCCCACATAGTGGCATGCACATTGCACATGCAAATCTGTAATTAAATACTTCTCTTTTTATCTTAAATTGCCATATATGCTCGTATTTTTTTCTTTTTTCTCCTAACTTGCTGAATGAATCCTGTATGGTTTTTCTAGTGTGGCACTGGTTCGGTTTCTACTGGGTCGACCAATGGATGGTATGCTTTATCATGGGATGGACACTTTGCAGTTGCTTCAGAGACTTTTCCCATTGCATCTTTTCACAGAAAAATATCATTTGTATTTAATACTTGAACCTGTTTTAATAATATTCAATTCACTCTCCAAACAATTTACTCTTTTTTTTACTTTAACATAATTTTGGATTTTAGCTTCAACACTGTAGGCCTTCTCTACGTGGATTTTTTTGTTGTTAAAGTTTACCAAGAGCAAAACTAATAGATATTATCTGTTCTTTAAGACATTTGGCAATTTTTAAGAAGTATTTTTAAATTGATCTGCCTGCAGCGTCTTTGATGCCAACTATGAGAGTGAAATGCTAAGGATAAATCCTCTGAAGCAACTTGTCTCTGCTAAGCTCATGGAAACAAATAGAAAAGAAAAAAAAATGGAAATAGAGAGAGGATCCTTCAGGGATGCAGAGGCAACAGGAGACATCTAACCCACATGTAAGAAACAAAGTACCGATTGCGTACGTTTATGGAGCCAAACTAGTTTTAGAGATTTGATTCCACTCTGAAGATGAATTTTCAATCATTTGGAGCAAAGCAGTTTGCAAAATAATACAAATGCCTGCTACGTCTGTCTCTCAAGTTTCTATCAATCAGTTTCTATCATAAAAACGTAGAATTTTTATCTTCTTATGTTGTTATACCTTATACATCAAATAAACTGTTTTTCAGACTTCTAGATTGCAGGTGACAAACAAAGACACTAAAATCTGTCAGTTCTACAGTTTGGCTTCATAAAGTTTAAGAAAAAAAGTCATGTAGCAGACAGACCCTCACAAAAAAAAAAAGACCACCAGCACCTATTCAAATAGGCTTTACCTGCTCTGCCTTACTGATGAGCAGAAACAAAAAAAAGTTTAATCCTGCGACATTGTGTTCAAAAGTGGTATAACATGCACAATGGGCTGGAATGAATAAGAGAAATGAAAAAATAGAAAATAACATAATTGATGACGATGAACACGGTGGGTTTTTCAGAATCTTTATGGAATATATACACATAAATTACAGAGCCAAATGTACATTTGATGACATGAGACATGGTGACAGAATGACTCATCCACATCTCACTCTACCAGGCATTCTCAAATCCACCAACACAGAGATTCTCACTCACACACACACAACCTCACAGTTCTTACCCATGAACTGAGCGAGTAAGGGTGAAAGACAAAGATGATGCAGTGATAATGATGAGTGGAAAGAGTCATCATGTCCTGTGGAGAGTAAGGCACTGAGGGTTACCTTCTGCAGCTGATGGCGTGTGGACACACTGAGACACGTGATAGTGAATGGACTGCTTTAAATCACTCACACAACAAGGGCTGAAATGTCTAAATTTGGCAAAAGTCATACTAATACAGAGGTTATACTGTACTGGTTAGGGAAAATGAACTTAAATTCTGAATTTTATGATTGCAAGTTGAATAACTTTTGTTTGCGAACAATTTATAATTGTGAATGTTAGTTCTGTCATTTAAATGGTAAAAAAAAAAAAAACTTAATCTCATTGTTATGTATGGTATAGAAAGGCAAGTTTACAACTGGTGAATATGTTAACATTTGTTCCCACCATTTAACTTCATTTTTTGAAAAACAGAATCTTTGATTTAAATAAAAACCAACGCAATACAAATCTTGGTACCAGTAGGTGGGAGTAGAGTTGATATTCAATCCAAAAGCCAAATCTGTGCTAGTTAACAGATTTTGATCATTTCATACATATCCTTTTCCTCTCTAGCACTATTTGTACGCAGCAACTTTGAACATTTAATATTTAAATAGGTATTCTTGGATCAACTGTAAATTTATTAAACCTTCCTATTCTCACTTATTAATGCCTTGAGGCTCTATTTAAAGTTTAATGGAGACAGATTAACACCAAAGAGAAAGTGTGAAAACAAATCTACCAGGTCCTCTGGATATTGTGTGCTAGCTTAAATGCAGCTATAGTGGGTAAAAATTGGGTAAATGCAAACTGAACTAAAAATACATTAAAATGACAGTGGGTTTACTTTAATCCCAGTTTTCCAGCCATGACTAATTTTGTTTGCATTTAAGCTGGAACCTGTTTTTTCCTAATATTTGCATTAGTGTGAAGCTGGCCTGTAAGGTATACTTGACTAAACAGCTTCAGCCTTTTAAAATGTAAACAGTATTTCATCTGCATGGGAACAAAAATGACCAAATGATAATAATACAACATATATACATAGATTCAGAGAGTTAAATGTCTCCTTGTCACAGCAGTAGCCCTGCTCCTCTCAAAGCAGGAGTAGATGAGGGTCTGTTGAAGATGGCGCTCGAGTGTGAGCTTGAAAAAATGGTCCAGTGCCATTGTGAAATTGTGTATAGGCAGCAAATAACCTTATACTGCCATGCCCACCTGAGGCCCCCGCCCTCCACCCACAACAGAACCCCGACATCAGCTACTCTTTTCTTTTGCCCCCCCCAAAAAGTACCGCCTCCTCACACACTCACACTCATGCACACATATAGTGCTGTACAAAGGGGAGACCACAGCGTGGCTTTAGCTACATACTGTAAGCACAACTTTTGGCAGCACTACTGTACATTAATCCCCACTGTGTGGTTTGTTTTTTTAAAGAGCCCTTTTTGTGTATTTGTCAACACGTTACCTTACAACTAACCCAATGACACAATTTCACAGCTGACTGAGAAGATTGGTGTTGCGTTTGTTAGTTTTTTCTAAATCCCATGGGCGAAAAAGAAACAAAAATACTCAGATATTAACACCACAAGGGGGGAAAAAAAAGCCATGGGTTAGACAGAAAACAGATATAAAGTTAGATGATGAAATAGTTGCATCCCCCTTAAAGAGAGTTCAATAAAATGATTATATTATACAGCAAAACATAACCAAACATTAGATGTTTGCTTTTGTTTCCCAAACAGGACAAGGTTTAGGAAAATACTCATACACACAACATGCTTCCACACAAGGGCAATGTTGTGTGTCGGCCTTTTGGAATTCGCTGTTACAATTCAGGACGAGCGAGTGGAGCCGAAATGAAAGTTGTGTCATTTTGGTGGATTCTGCAGACTTTTAATGGGATTGATAAAGAATGAGGTGTGTAACGTACATGTGGTGAAAGGAGAGGGGTGAGAATGATAAGATACCATGCCAAGTAAAACCATACGATAACTTAATCTGAGAGCTGCCTGTTCTGTAGCGGTTTCTCCCCTATGTAATCTAACTAGCTACCTAGCTCTAGAGGGACCTGAGAAGTAAGCAAGAAGCTTTGCACCTCTGAAAACCTCTAACTACATCATCTGAAACTGTACAAAGGATAACTGTAGGATGGACATAAATTGGTGCCATGCCTAAGCCAAAGGGGCTAGCCAGCTAGTAAGATCTGGAAGCATTGGCCGCTGAGTCTTAAAAAGTCAAATCCACCAAGGCTAAGATTGAAACTATGAAGGTCTCTTATGGTTTTTCTTTGTAGCTGTTAGAAAACAGAGTGCCTGAATGGGAGGTTAAAATAGTTCTGCCCATTCTGAATGTGCATCAAGCTTTGCCTCTGCACCTTGTCCTGACCGTGGCCCAGTTTCAAAATCATCACTCTCCCTGTTTCAAATGCTAGCGTGGGAGCCGGTGAGATTTGATTTTAAGGCGTAGTGTGTTTGACACATCTACTACACAAGGGGGAGGGGACCGACGAGAGCAACTGTGTGGGGGGAGTCGGGGTGATGAATATGATTGAGATACAGAAGGCACTGTGGCTCTGTAGGGGGCTGTGGAAAACCATCCTCACCTGCTGTAACTTCTTGTAAGGTGAGACCAAAAGGTTCTACAATAAGCACCCCTTTCCTTCCACTGAACTGACAAAAAATAAATAAATAACCACAATCCAATTTACCCTACAATGCTCAAAAATAATAGCCTGGAGGGCATCAGATCATATGAAAGCAGAAATTTGAACTGGGAGAAGGGATCCGCCACGGAAGGGCTAAATAAAAAGAAAAAAGGCAGCAACAACTGTAAATAAAAAGGAAAATTCACTGTGGGTGTGATGACAAGGTGAAAAAGGGGTATCAGTGTTAACATTAACTCCTACATGCAGATTCCTGTTCCATTATGCAGCACTTATGGCCGCCGGTCACCCCTGTAGATGATGCACATGAGGTCTGCATAGAGTCAAAATGTGTGTTTTGTGTTTTGTCTTGGATTTCTGCAATTGCATGAAAAACAAAAGTAGCATTAGTATGCAAAATAAATCAATATCTGAATCTCTATGTTTTATATTTCATTTATAACTACATCTACAATATTTCTATGTTAATCTTTAAGTAATAAACTATCTTTTAATCTATGCTCTATTCTATTATTCTAGAATTCTTGATCATTCAGTAACTGTCGATCCTCGTAGCAGTAAGGGATGAAATATATTTTTCGAAGGTGTTTTTATTCCATGGTCTAGAGTCGATCTTTAAAAAGCTAAATGCCCAGATGTTAAAGCAAACTAACTGACGTCAAGCTAAGATAAACTAAAGCTAAATTGGTGGTTTCTTAAGCATTTTATGGGCAGATTATGTAGATTTGCTACAAACTCACTTCACTGGGCAGGGGTGTCTTCCCAGAAAAGGTTGGGGGGCGGGGATGGCGTGACAAATGGAAAAATACGATACGGCAGCTCTCAGGGCACATCAGTGTTTTCCTGACAAAGGATCTGATTTCTATTCATTACGACTTTAGAGTTACTTGAAAGTTGATTGCAAGATTAGAAGAGATTAGAATGTGGCCAAAAGAAAACACTGTCCAGTACAGGGCGAAGGCAGGGTAAAAATTGGGTGCTGATAACTGCACTGTGGTGGCAAAAACACCATCTCACTGACACCAACCTTGGACTATCAATACTACTCAGTGCTGGCAACTAATCCTAAACTATAAAGCCAAAAAAACGGCTTTATTAATGGGGCAATAGGTCGGAGGTCAACCCTACAGGGAGAACCATGTAAAATTAGCTCACACATTCTCAATGAGTTGTACTCCTCCACTCTAAACACCAGTTACTGATCTTTGGGTTGGCTTGAGGAGATCCTGTGGGTGACTGCAAGACAGGATACTGAGATTCCCCTGACTTCTGCCCTGACTGTTCCGGAGAGAGAATGCATCTTCACTTAGCGGTGCGTTACAACACGCAACACTGCTAAGTGAGTGTTTGTAAAACCATCGTTGCCCAAAAAATATTGCACAAAGGCATCAGGAACCCGGTAAACATCACTGAGCACGGGATATTAACATAAGGAATGTGAAAGCTAAATGGACATAGCTCGTCTGAGCTCCATTAAACATGACAGAAAGTCTACAGCAACAGTTCTAACACTCATTAGTCAATCGTTACCGGTATCATCATTGTCACTCATTTGCATTGAAATAAAAAATAATAATCATCATTAATTTCTGATATCATCAATAAGAGCAACTTAAGTGTGGTAGAAGTTCCCTTCTATCCTTCCTCTCTCTCCCCCTTCGATTACTTAAAACACAGGACACTAGTGGGACCCTGTAAAGTAGTTTTTTTTTTGTCTCTTGACACGTTGCAGAAACTGAGCTTTCAACAGAAAACAGAGACAGATAAAATACTTTTAAATCTGTTAAAGTCTGTATCAGGTAAAAAAAACAAACAAAATAAGTATATATAAAAATGACTTTTGACAGGTTTCAGAGAGACACACAGAAAGAGAGAGAGTCTGATAGAAGTTAACTTCTTTTTCAAACCTAAATGTTAAGTTTCGTATAAAGCCCCCCAGGTCCCACTCCCACCACACCACTTAGATTTCCACTCTACTATGGATTATATCAATCATGCAGGTTTCCATCCAATTTTTGGACTTTGAAAAAGATCAAAGGAGGCTGAGCGAATGCAACAGAAGAACCAAGCTCCAAATGTCCGAAGAAGAACAAGGAGAAGTAATTGATAGAAGAAATACTGAAGAAATTGGTCTGTTCCCCCCCCTCCCATCCCTCGTTTCTTATCCTCCGCCATGTTCAACTGCATGATGTCATTTCCTGTCAGGTCTTCGTTCTCCGATGCTGGGTCGATCAATAGAGCAGGGAAAGAATGCCAATGTGACCAGATCCCTTCTCTAGTAACCTGGGCCCATCCCTCCGGTGCTCTTTGACAGAAATCTAGCCCACCTTGGGCCTTACCACTTTCCGTCCACTGCCATCTGGACAGGAAGTGATGTCACAACATTTCCATCCCCATTAGGCAAGTCCATAACAGTAAACAGAGATGATAAAACTCATCAATATCAGCCTGCCGTGTGATTGGCTGGGTTTTGCAGTATAGGCGGAGCTTCATAAGTTCTGTCCCCTTGGACACAGAGAGATAATTAAAGACAAAGTAAAAGTACTCCCTTTTTGAAGTTTTCACTGTCATGTGAAGTGTAACTGTCTTCTTCATTGTTCAAGTTTCATTTTCTGGAGGCATAGCTTGGCATGTAAGGGTTAGTGGGGGAATCCTGGCTTTTTACTACCTTATCGTTCTTTTTTTTAAACGTTTTGTTTTAGAGCAGAGTCTAAGCGTTGTACTCATCATTCAAGCTTATTTCTGAAGTAGTCTGGGTAGTCTGAGAGGTTGAACACATCTGTTAGATCTAATGCCGGTCCGAGCAAAGTGCTGTAAGGCCTGGAAACGATCACGTCACACTGTTTTAGAACCTCAAGCTCCTCCTTGGATCTCTGTTCCCTCAACTCTCTTTTCCCTTTGAACTGTACCGTAGGGTTAGTTATGGGAAGAACAGTTCTGAGACTGAGGGAGCCAGAGGTAAACTGTGCCCTGGCCATGCCTATGTTATCAGGACTTCCATGGTATTAGGATAACCATGTGCTGCTCTGTCAAAGATTTGATCTTTTGGAAGAAAGAAATGTGTAAAAGGCTCCTAGCAGCACCATTGCCCTTCTACCTCCACCCCTGCATCTTTTTAGAGTCTAAAGGTGGAAGGTAGGGGGTCTCAAAACTTTTGCCATCACATTTTAAAAAGTTTACATATATATCCGAGCACCGGAGGTTGTGGTTCTTATTCTCCTCTGCTGTCTGTGTCTAATGCTTTTGCTAGCACCAGTCATCCTCATCAGTCTCACTGTAAGGTTCGTGGAGACCCTTGCGGGGCCCTCTGGGATGAGGTGGTCGGTGGTGGGGTGGAGCTGCCCCAGGTGGTCCCCTCCTTTGTGGGGAAGGCGAGGATGAGCGGTAGCCATTAGGAACCCTACGCGGATGTGGGTGAGGGGGTGGAGGGGGCCCATGACGAGCAGTCCTTGGTGAGCGCGGATGTGGGTGTGGATTTCCTCCATGTGAATGAGGGTTGCCATGAGAGAGGCTTTGCTCATAGGCCGGAGGCTCATGGTGCCGCTCGTACTCATAATCTCTCTCATAGAAGGGTCCGTCGCCCTCTAGGCTGTCCCCTGGAGGAGGACCGCTCCAGCGGTTTCGGTGTGGAGACCGAGGTGACCCGTGGAGTGGCGAGTGCGGTGACTGATGTCGAGGTGAGCGTGGTGAACCGTGCCTGGACGAGGATCCGCCATGGTGCGGAGAGGCGTGACGTGACGGGGGTCGTTGGTGGTAGCCTCTGTCATGATCTGGTGGGGAGAAGTGTCGAGGGGAGGGTGAGCGCAGTCGGCCTGGGCCTGGGGGGCCGTATAGAGGCTTTCGGACAGCGGGGGAGTAGGTGACATGTGGACGTGGGACAGCAGGAGTCTGTGGTAGCTGGCGGCGGCCTCTCCTTGGAGTGCTGGTCCCCGAGGTGGATGGGACCGGGCTGCCGCTTACCGAGCTACTGCCCTACAGCAAAATGTAAACAAGGAAAATCAAAACACACCACAACAAGAAGGCAAAAATAGAAGGCAGCAAAGAAAACACAAAGAGACAGACAGACAGGCAGACAGACAGGCAGACAGACAGACAGGCAGGCAGGCAGACAGACAGACAGACAGACAGACAGACAGACAGGCAGACAGGCAGACAGACAGACAGACAGACAGACAGACAGACAGGCAGACAGGCAGACAGGCAGACAGACAGGCAGACAGACAGACAGACAGACAGACAGATACCATTGCAAATGTATTGAAGCATATGAATAAAGCCACAAATTAAGTTGAAAGTTACAACAAAAAAAAAATAACACATTGCATTGCGGAAATTAAGAAAAAGTCGACAAAGCAAGAAAAAGACAAAGCAAGAAAAAAAAAGAAACAAGAACAGATAGATTGATTTCCATAAGTACAGTAATAGGAAGAACTGTGAAAATTTTTCATCGTAAACCGGAGCTCCAGCCATGGGATCTCAGGTTTTCAAAACATCACAATCTTCAAAAATCAACTCTGTACCATAAAAAAAACTACCAAGTTGGACTCAGGCTATAATTACAGCCAAGGAAAAATGGTTAGACCACCACTGTTTATGTAATTTGATGTTTTAATTTGTATTACATCAAGAATACAGCGAATTAGGATATTCTGGCCAAAGTTAAACTGGAGTTAATACTTGGTGGTGTAAAATGTATAGAATAGATATCTTTCATTGTAAGAGCCACAATTACCTACAGCAATTAATCAGCCAATAGCAATTCACTTGTCATCAAGTGCCTATTTTGTACATTACACATACTTTCTGTTTTGATTTTTTTTACCCATTTGATATTTATGCATTCCTAGTTGGCATCTTTTCTCCACAGCCATGTTTTCCCTCCTTCTTTCTTAAGATTATATTTGTTGTACATATACACAACAACCAAAAGGGCAGTATTCTTTGTATTCTTTGCTGTGTTTGACCCTGGTGGCACCGGCAGGTAGTTCTAATAGCTAATAGACTGGTCAGACAGACTGACTTCCACAGGGCGCAAGACAGTCTGATAAGGCTCAAGACTCTGGTCTAAAATGGACCAGACCGATCCCTGTACAGGAGGCGGGCCAACAATGCAACAGCGATTTTCTGTTAAGATTGCAGCTGCAGTGGATCCATGATTTAATGATTCGTTTATTGGGTCCATAAAGAGCTGTTTACATCTTTAGGATTTCACCAACTGGCTGCTGTAATTTTTTTGCTGCATTTAAAAAAAAAAAGACATTTTTGCATCACATCCGTAGTTACCCGATTGGCTCTACACTGTTTCTGTTGCCTCTGCCTCACCTAAAAAAAATTTCTCTACCAGCTCATTTCCTGACTGGTAGGCCATATTTATGGCAAAAGTCAGCCCGGCTGACCAGGCTAGAAGGCTTATATGCTGATAAAGTGACTGCTATGTAATGTCACCATTGTAGCAGTATATTGGATCTTAGGATATGTATAAGATCCACCCTGTTCTGGGTAAATAGCTATATATGTCATTAAGAGGATACACAAGGAAAAATGTGATCATATTTTGAAGAAGTGTAACCAATAAAATAAAAAGCACACTAAAAATGTTGCAACAACAATCCCCTTTGGATGAAACATGGGAAACTTTAGTGGTGAGAACTGATTTCTCCTCATCTACCAAAACCGCCTCTATGTTGCAGAATATTTTGAACCAGGTCTGCATTCTTTGATTTAGGGATAAGATCATGCCGAAGCTGAGAGGAGCATACGTCTGCAGGTAGAAAATATAACTCGAGCAGAGTTGACTCGACCAAAGAGATGATAGCAGCTGTTGCTTTTGAACTGTTCTCCCTGCTGCCCAGTGGGAAGACGCTTCTCAGCATCCGCTGCAGGGCCATCAGGTTCTGCAACAGCTTTTTCACCGCTACCATCAGACTGTTGAACTGTTGGGTTCTAAACTGGATTCTGCATTACACTCGCAGCATTATTTTGCACAACCAACATGGCTGAAACTTTTATAATCCTTTTAAATAAGACGCAACTCAATATTCTACTGCATTTTGCACCATACTTATATTGCATTACACTGAACCTTTCCATATTAATGCCCTTTAGCACCATTATTTTTTAAACTGGTTTTCCTTTTCTCCTATACTGCTTACATGATGCACTTTAAATGGTAATGTTTAATTCCCTGTTCACTGTTGGAAGTTGTAAGTGATGTAATTTCCTTTTGTATACAGTTGGTGTATATAAAATTATGACAAAGTTTGCCTAAGTCTAAGTTTTGAACATAATGTTTTTCAGTCAAGCTTTATCAATCAGGACTTTTTACTTTTTAAGGTGTCTACCACCAATAAAGAAATAGCTTCTGATGTATGATAAATGCTGCAGTTAGAAGGAACGATGAGAACTTCTCATAAGTTATGCACTTGAGCAGACAATAACACATATCTACATGATATTGTTTTGCTTTCATTAAACCTTGCTGTCTTTAAAGCTCACCTGTCTGTGACCTCTTCCGTCAGGCCCCTCACTAGGAGACCGGGACCAGTGGCGGTCATGGGGGTGCCTATGTTGGTATTCATGGCGGTCATAGCGCTCCTTGTCCATTGAGCTGTGATGACGGTGATGGTGGTGGTGATGACGCCGGTCCTTGGTGCGCCCACGGTCTCTCTCCCGCTCTTTGGGAGGCAGATCACCTGACTGTGTAGTGGTGCTGAGGTCTGTGCCCAGACCTAGACATGAAATAGATATCATACCTGTCAAAGTTAGACATGCAGGTTACGAAAACGTATAGTCTAGGTGCTTTCCATATAAGAAAGACTCTTCTAATCTAATAACAGATGGCTTTTGTCTTTAACATAAAACAGCTTTAGAAAAGAAAACAATAAATCTATTCATCAAACAAGAATGAAAAATAATATCTAGATAATTTCAGAGACAAAAAAAAGGATTTTTGATCAGACAGTTGAACAATTTTCAGTCTTTAAATTGACTTTGCAGGATAACTCACATGATTACAATTATATTCCTTTTATGCACTTCTTTTGGCTTAAATTTACCTTAAAAAAATCTTAAAGCTCTTTGCACATTTAAAATGCTGTTACACTACAACCACAGATTTCCATACATCCTTTTCAAAAGTTGTACAAAAATTCGGAAGTGTGCCTTAAGTTCCTCTTTAGGCCACATAGTTAATACTTTAATTACAACCTTTTTCTGCAACAAATATTAAGTGAGTTTTTTTTTTTTTACCAGCTTTGCACATCTAGATGCTTTCAGATTGGACAGAGTCATTTTAAAGTCTTGATATAGGACTTAGTTTGACTTAACCATCCTAATACAGTATTCACTTGGAGAATACACTGTGTTCAGTATTTGCCCTGCTAGAAGGAAATCTGTAACCATTTTTGTTCCAGATTGCTCTGCACTTTCATTCTGTCCAACCTTTATGTAATTCTGACCATCTTTCAGGTCTCTTAAAGGAAAAGTATTAACATAGCATGAGGCCGTTACCCCAAAATTCCACTATGTGACCAGTGTTCAGGGCTGATATCTATATTTTAGATTCAAGAACACGCTGCAAATTTTGACCAAATGTTACGTTTTGTCTTAAATAACCATGGCACCTGCTGTATCCCCTACAGAACTCGTATCAAACTAAAAATGGGAGTTCTTGCAGATTTTTTTTTTTAACAATGACTTTGTTCTTGCCACTCTTCCCATAAAAGGGACATTTGTGGAGTAGATAACTCATCTGCATGCATGTGCATCCTTGTATTCACAACCACTAACATCGTCTAACAAACCTCTGAGTTCAAAGTGCAGCCTATGTTTTTCTAACGGAAAAAAGTATACTTTTTAATCATTAGGCAACTTTCAGGGGATATCTGAGAAAACTAATCTGAATATAAATGCACACCACAAATAGTTTCATTACAAAAAAATACAGAACAAAATCTCTGTATACATTTATTTACTGTTCACAATCTACAATAGATTCAATAGCTAAAAAATATTTGCATAATTAATTCAATGTTGTCTAAACCCTAAAATAAAAAAACCCGGTCACCTGTGTCAGCGTCTGTATATCTGGTTAGTGATCGCTGTGAAGTGCGATGACTTCTGTCCCTGTGCCTGCGCCCACCGCCGTGTCTCGCCTCCTCAGACACCACCCTCTCCAAAGAGTAGTCATCCAGCCTCACTCCACGACCTGAACGCCCGTGGACCAGACTGGAGGTAGAGCGACGCATTGGACTGTTGTCAGTAATGGTCTTTAAGGACAAAAGAATGGGATAAAAGACATAAAGAAAAGGGAGGAAGGATAAGAGGATAGGGGGAAAAGAAATAAACAACAGGGGTAAAAGAGAGACAAGGGGGGAAATAAGTTACATTTATTGCTTGCTAAATGTTTATTCTCAGTTGCAAAAGTAAAGTAAACGTCTTTATTCAACTTTCTACTTTTCACCTGTCAGAGGTCTATTATCATTCTTGGTTGAGCAGCAGTAAATTAAAGGTAAGCTGTGGTGTGCATGTGAGATCTTTCTTAATTCATTTCTAGAGCACTTGAACAATACACATTCCTCTGATCCCTACTAGGTAAGAATTTCAGAATCATTAAAAAAAAATCTCACAAAATGAAACAAACAGTGATATCAACTGACAGGCAAGAAAGACAGATGCAGTGAACGAGCAAGTGGACTATAAAAACCATGCCTCACATGCACAATGCAGGAGGATTTTATACTTCTATTCACAGCAGACATATTTCACACTTGAGAAGCAAAACATAAAAAATCTTTAATTTATTTATCTAATGCAATCGAAACAGTCTCAAGAATAAACAAACAAAGTAAAAACCAATAGCAAACACCCAGTTCCTCTTTATGGCAGTTTTTCTTTTAACCTTAAAATCGTTAGTTGCTATGAAACCACATGTCTAGGTGTAAGAAATTGGATGGTAGAGGAAAGTGAAAAAGTTTAATGTTGTGTTTTACGTTCTGCATTGTATCCATTGTATCCTTGTGAACTAAACAGATATGAAATCGGTTTAGTGTCAAGAGTTGATTCCACCTCCTGAGGGAGGGAGGTTTAAAACAGAAGAGATCACTTGTATTGCTCTAGTTTTTGATGTAAACTTTAAAGTCTTGTTATAGGTATTTACACTTCAGCCTTCACATGGCATCCCATTCTTCATCCATCCGTTTTATCAAATCGTTGATACATCCTTTTCAATGAGAAGAAATCCGTGAATTTCTTTTCACAAGGTTTATGAGTGTGTTTACTGGTATTTTCTAGACAAGCATTTGTCAGGTCATATAAAGATGTTAGACAAGTGGATCTTTGTCTTTATGGACCTTGCTTTGTGCACTCATGCACGTTTAAGAAGAAAATCTTCTGACAAAGTTGGGACCTTGACAGTGCCCAAAATATGTGTCTCTTCACAAGAAATCAAATGGTTGAGCCTAAACTCTTCAAAAAGCAGGCCCATATCATGATACTCACTCCACTAAGCTTTACACAGTGAGGTCAGAAAAGTGCTTTTCTGCCTGGGGATGCCAAATCCAGGATTGTCCATTAGCCTGACGCTATCTGTAGTGTTGCAGAGCGTGGTTAAAGCAGTTTACGCTTAAGTTCATAATTTAGCGCTCCTCGTTGGAAATCTTCGACGATCTGGGCCCATATCCACAAAGATTATCAGATTCCTCTCAGGGAGCTCCCGTTGAGGCCTAAACATTCCTGCCAAGAGGTTTTAGTTTACAAGTGATTTAGATTGATGCTTATAGAGAAAACTGGACAGAAATTCCTTTCCTATCTTAGTCAGGAGGAGTGTCTGACCCTCTTGTTAGGTTTGATGCTTCCTTGTAAGAGCTGTGGGTGGTTTAAACAAGAAACACAGAGCCACACTGAGTGTTGAACTACCTTTTAACTCAATGGTCCAGGGATCTCTATCGGAAGGAAAAGATTTTAAAGTTTTTTCTCTCTTTTTATCAGTGTATTTATATTTTCTCTGCTTTATACAAATAACAGAGAAAAGATTGCAAATCACAAACAAATATCCAGATGACCATTAAGACTCTGGATACTTCTTCTGTAGAGTACAAGACTGACTCCCTTTCACATTTATTTCAACCTTTCTTTCTACTGCAGAGAATGAATATAATAATAATAATAATAATTGATCTTTATTGATCTCACATTGGTGAAATTTACCTCCGCCTTTAACCCATCTCCTTGGGGAGCAGTGGGCTACCATCGTTGGGCGCCCAGGGAGCAGGGTGAGGGTGGCAGTCTGTGGGAGTGGGGCTCGAACTCAGACCCTCAGGATTCTAAGCTCTATGCCCTAACCACTAGGTTGCCACTCTCCCAAGAGAGGCAAACTTTTGGGGAATGTTTTTTTTTCCTTCAGTAAATACAAGATTATTGTTTGGTTAAACAATAATGTTTGAGTGTTTAAAAATCGTATTAGAACATAAAATACACGACTATTCAAATGTAATATAAAACCACTCAGTATCTAAAGTATGTGATTTATAGTCTAGGGTAAATGTATAGCTTTGTATTATAGTACAAAATGCTAAATCCATGTTCACTTCATTGTATTCCTACCTTACAGACTGTAAACATGTTCTTTGCATGAAGAACATTGCTGCTGAGCCTGTAATATTATTGTTTTAATAAAAAAAAAAGTAGAATGTTTCTATGAAGAATATGCTAGATCCTGGGCTAACCTCTCCAGTGTTTATAAAACCATGCTCCCCCTGCTGGATGTAAATAAGAACTGTCCGTTTGAACATGCCAAATTATTAGGTATGACGAGACTAGAACTGCAACAGTTAAAAACAAAGTTAAGGTGAAATTACCTGCACCGCTATCAGATATTGTGAGCCAGTGTGTATATTTGTCAAACAGAAACTCAATCAAATCTCTAAAACTTCTGTTTTATCTATAATACGTAACTTGTAATGTATTCTATTATAAAATGAAAGGATACTTCATGTAAGGCATCATGTAAGACTGGAGGTTTGGTTTAAAGATTAAAAAATTGTACTCACTGAGACACTGAAGAAAATACATAATACCAAAGAATTTAATTCTCTTTATATAAGATAAAAGGATCCAAAATAAACAAAAAATGACCTTTAATTTAAAAGGTAATTGTGATGTTTCATGTAACTCTATTTTTACTCAAAAATCACCACTATTAGAAGAACGCGATTCTTACATGTGTTTCCAAAATCATTTCTAGATCTTCCCTTTGAATTGCGTGAAGTTAAAAGTAAAATTCTGCAGAAAAGCAGTTGTGTTTGTCCACTTTCGTCAGAGGGCTTTATCATGATCCTACAGTCTTGGCTGATATTTAAGTTCGCCTCATTCTCCTACGACGCCCTCTTACATCTGCTGTGAAACGGTCAAATCATGCATGACCAACGACATGCCGGCACACTGCCAACTCCTTAGAATATTGGGGCAGTCCATGCTTTTGTGAAACCAATCAGTAGAGATACAACACATTTAAAACACAGCATGGTAATGCATCAAACACCTCCCTCCCACTTACACACACACACACACTCGCACACACATTGGGAGGACAAACATTCATTGGACACTTAGCAAACAATTGTTAGCAGTGTAACCTTAACAGAAGCAAACAGGAAAGAGAGAAAAGAATGGGAACAAAAAGAGAATTAGGAAGAGAGGGTAAAATAAAAACGGGAAATCAAATTAGATCTGAACTATGAAAAAAGTCCCAGTGGATGAAAGAGATGGAGTCCCAGGTGGGTTTGCTTCATTTCACTGATATAATCAAAAGCCACCTTTTAAAAGGATACAAAAATCAAGCTAATCAATTTTCATTCATTATCACATGAAATGAAAAAAAAAATGTCTCAGATTTATAATTATGTATAAGCACATGTTTATTGATAACTATAATGATTTATAAGGTCTGTTTATTGATTGATTTCTAAAAAAAAAACAAAAAAAAAAACTTGGAACATTAAATATTCTTCTTAACAGAAGTGATAAAGACTCCTGGGACAGGTGTGGAAAGGTCTTTAAAATAACTGAGCGAATTTCTGGTTGCCTTCAAGTTTAAGAGAGTCATAAAACTAAAGAAATTTAATGAGGTTTAAAAAATGGGTCTGAAGATTCTCCATCATCCAGGTCATGGTAAAGTTTGAAAAGTTCTGTTTAGGCAACTGGATGCAAAATTTTTTAGGAGACATTTCATCTCCCATCCAAGAGGCTTCCTCCGTTCTAACACTGAGATTAATATAGTTAAGGTTGAACAAAAGAATTAGGATTGGCCATGAAGGACACCAGGGGGATGTTAATGGTCATTAGGGGGTTCTGATGGGTCGTTAACCCCTTCGTCGGAGTGGTTTGGGTCATACAATTCTTGACGTGTGAGTCAGATGAGGGCAGGCTCCTTCTCTGGGCATTGTTGCTCATTGTTTATTGTATTGTTCCTGAAAAATGTGTTTGGAGTTTAAAATGCAGGTGGTGGTAATAACATCCTGAGGCCTGAATACTGACGGGATTTATTTCTGAGAGATGACAACTTTTTTCGTAAAACCGGAGACCAGAGTATGTCCTAAAATGTGCACTACACAAATACTCCAACAAAGATTTCTAGGTATTCAGGAAAGGTAAGAGCCCTCAGCATCACACCTCCTCCTGTTTCAGTCCAGTTTAGTTTAACCTTTTAGAACATTGTGGAAGACTCTGAATATGAGCAGGTGCAGGAGCTATATTCTTGTTGTCACTTTCTAACTGTCACTAAGTTATGAAAAATATTAAACCTACTAGAAAAAATTATGTTCGCGCATCTTACCAATTCGTGTGGAAATTACACTGACAATAGAGATAGGTATAATTGTTTAGCCAGTGTACAAAAATGAAATCTTACATTTCCTAAGCAATCATTCTGTCTGTTATACAGTATCACTGTATCCATCTAATGCAAAATCTAAAAAGACAAGTAAAGTAAAAAACAAAAAGGGACTTAAAGGAAAATTCATTTAGCGAGTGAAAACTTAATTGACACCAAGTGAACTCTGGTTAAAGCAACCCATATGGCACTCAATGAGGGGAAAGAAATCAACTTGCAAACTACAAATTCAACATTAACCAATGGAGAGAAACAGGGAGGAATGGAGGTTGACAGAGACGGAGAGAGAGGTACATACACTGAGGTTATTTCCGCGGGGTCTGTGTCTCCTCCGCTGCAGAGCAGGCAAACACAGATGATACGTAGAGCGGAGCAGTGTAGCACACACACACACACACACACACACACACACACACACACACACACACACACACACACCAAAACACATACACACAAAGCGTTGGTCCGATGTGGCACAGTCACCAGGACCAAAAGAGAAGAGAAAAAGACATAATGAAGGAGGTTAGAAGGTAAGACAGAAGAGAGGAAGAACAATGGGAGAGATGGGAGGGAAATAATAGATTTGATCATGTGAAATAAATGTAATACCAATCAGGTTTGGGGAATATAAAGATTAAGAGACAGGAAAAAGAGAAAGAGAACCAAGTTAGTACAAAGAGGCTGGTGTGGAGGCTTTGGACAGAGGAGAATGCTCCTTACAACAGGAGTGGGCAGCTCACAGTTTACGATGCATGTGCATCTGTATGTGCACTCTTAAACACACTTACCAAAAACAGTTTGAGCTCTCTGTAAGGCAGGGTACTGTTAGAGGACAGGGGGTCACAGGTTTTAGACACACATCTACTGTCTAACTCTCATAATGCACACAAACACACACATGCAAAGCACGTAAAGTATATCCAAAGGAGGTATAAATCTCCCAATCTGAATATAAAGGTTGCAATAATTATATCCCTCGGATTAAATATATGAGGAAGATGATATTAACTACATTTTTATATTAACTTTGTGTATCAGTTCTATAGTTGCAGATGATTATATTCTATAATAAATGTATGATTTAACATTGTCTCTTATGTTCACATATAAAGTTTTAAACACCCAAAATTTTAATGGTTGTTTCCTTAAGATAAACAGTAGATGTTCTGTTCGAGTTTAAACGGTCTGCCTATTTATCCTCACAATAAAACAAAAACAATTCAGATAGTAATCATCATGCCAGAGGAAGGGGCAATATGACTTTTAATGTTGATGATTGTTGGAATATGGCCGTATTTGTTTTTCATGATGTATATGTGCATGGATGCACCTACAGCCCCACAACCAAGAGTCAACAGAGGACTAATGAAAATATGTTAAGGTGCAATGTTCTGTTAAAAATATAAAACATATTAGTGTATCTAAAATTCCTAAAAGAACTGGTTTAAAAACAAGAATTTAAAATATCTCAGGTTACGTTTGATGATAAAATTAGTTTTATAACTGAAACATTTAGATTTGGAGATTAAACAGAACACGAAATATATTTTCACTGCATTGTGAATATTTCAATTAATCAAAATTAATAAATTATAATTAACTTAAACTATTCATTATTTCATTGTAATAATACAATTTTTTGGGACAAAATTCCATTATGTTCCATAATGAAAGTAAACCAATATTGATATTACCATCGGTTAACATCTAATTACTAAAACTTAGAAAAACAGCTGTCCATTTCAGATTAAGAGTCAACTTTATTGGAATCAAAGTACTAGTTGTCATCTAAAGGCTCTGGATGAATTCAATAAAAATTTCATAGTTAAAAAAATGTTTTAAACTTTGTAATACTTCAGGGCCTGGTCTTCAAAACACTTGTTTGCATAAAAAAGTTTGCAAACTTAACAGGATGTGCAAACACTGACCAGGTGCATATGTAACAGAGAAAAAATAGCAGCATAGTCCAATTAGAGTGTTTGCCTTGGATATGTAGAACAGATGATCAGAATAACCCACAAAGGGTTCAAACCTGAAACCGATTACGGGTATAGTTTTTTTCTTCTATATTTAACACATCAGGTGCAAAATCACACACATAAACACCAAAAAATCTGCAAGTACTATGGCCACAAAGGTCGTAGTACTTGCAGACAATGAAGAGATATTTGGTGAGCATATAAACTTACTTACTTGGGACTGCCAGAAATAACAAAAGTAGAATATTATTAGTGGGAAAAAAAGATATCTGTGAGAGACAGATGAATTCTTTGCAGACCACTTGAAACCCATCCACTAATTGCCTAGTGTAATGTTTGTATTTTTTTTTTTTTTTTGGACAAGCAATTCAGTGCTCCTTATTTGAAATCTTTGAAGAACAGGCACTTACTCACCTTTGTAGTGATCAGTAAATTCCATCAAACATTATGATAATACAGAATGTTAGTATTGTCCACCCCTAGACTTGGGGTAGTAAAAAGATGCTTATAATATAAATAGACCAAAGTAGAAAGATATCATTAGGAGAAAACATACTCTCCAACAGGAATGAAGTAGTTAACAATAGCTGCTCTGTTACCATAAAGGTAATGTGAAACCTTTTTTTGAGTTAAAAACCCATAATGTCGACCAAATCATTAATGTTGTTAGGATTATTATTAATAATGCGTGAGTGATTACAATTTATGTCCAAAATCTGTTGTCACGTCTCATGATTATTTAATACATATAAGTTATAGTGTTATTTAAAGAGTTGGTCTCAAGTGATCTCTTCACACAGTAAAAGAACATGAGACATAAAGCTTCAAGGTGTAAATACAGAGATTTCCTTAAAAATGTTGAACACATACAGTAGCTTCTTTGCAGAAGCAGCTTATTTTGCTATGCCATTTGCAGTACCTTCAGACCATGCTCAGGCTTCATTGAAGACCCTCACGCATACATAAGGGTGCAGTTAGTTGATTTTTGCTCAGTATTTCACCTCATCAGTCAACACCAACTCATCATTATACTGGAAAACTCAAACTTTGAAACTCCATCTATTTGTGTAGAGAAGACATTTTGACCAACAGATCCAACCATGCTTTGAAAGACATCTCTACATCATGCACCATTGTCCTTAATACTGGTGTTCCACAAGGCTTTGTTCTTAGCCCACCATTGCACCTTCTGCACACATCTGAGCAACCACCTATGGCTCAAACATCCTCATTAAATGTGGAAATGAAACAACCTTGTGCGGCTGACCAACAATAATGACGGAGGACTACAAAACAAGAAGTTTCAAGCACTGGAAGCCTGGTGCAGTGACAATTACCTAATGCTTGATACCAAAATGATAAAATAAATAATCATTGATTCCAGAACTTGACACACACACACATATATATATATATATATATATATATATATATATATATATATATATATATATATATATACACTGTATATCGCACTTAGGCCTGAGCATCAACAGAGAAGAAGTGTAGTGAGTCACTACAACGGGCCTAAATTTGATTACAATCAAAACGGCCCAGTTAAGTATTTTCTTTGTGAGAACCCTGAGGAGGATTAAACTATCTCCATCTATGCAGTAAAGCTTCTACCACAGCCCAATAGAGTTTCCTAACCTATAGATGTGCAGCATGGTATGAAAACTGCACTGCATCAAAAAGGAAACAGTAACAACAGGTCATAAAGACTGCTTAGTCTATTATTGACTCCCCACTTCTATGCCTAAGAACAATATCTTAGTCTAAATAATAGACTATTGCACATTTTTTTGCACTAATGGTATTAAAGACTATTTATGTTACAACATATCTTTGGTATTTCAAACCAACACTGACACTGTTAAAAAGCAATGTTGCCAAACATTATTTTGTTATAACCTGTGCAATGGCAATAAATCTAGTACTTTATCAATTTTTTAAAGATTATTTTTTAAGCACTAGTGGGCTTTATTTTTCTAATTCACTGTTTGATTTTTCTTTGTTCATTTGCATCAGATTTTTATTTATTACTACTTTTGTCAGAGTCAAGTTATTTCTGTGACAACTGTGGTTTTCTTTCATTAAACAGGGATTGGCAATAATTTTATCTATGTGTGTATACATTTCATCTATGTACTGGACTGATACACTGGGGCCATTTACTTTTTTAAAATTCTTTTAAAGATTTGCCAATCAAAAACCTTTAATACAAATTGTAAATATCCATATGCTGGCTTTTTGCTCTAAGTAAAAAGTTATTGGTCTTCTCTTATTATTGGCACGTTTTGAAGAGTTGCGCAGCAACTCTACTCTACTCTCCTAAAATTACACAATTATAGCATCATTCACATATGGATATCTCATAAATGTAAATCTAACAGGTTCTTCTGAAGTTGTCTTATTGTTATTTGTCATAAAATGATAAAGAAACACTAAACAATGCTAAAAGTCCAGTGGATTTAGTGTAATATTTAGTGGTTTTTGGAGAAAAAAAAACACTAAATATTGATAAATATGGATATGGAAACCTTTTCCTTTCAGTTTACACAAGACAGACATACCAAGGATTTAATGGAAATGAACTCATAAATGGAGCAAGCAGGGACCTTAAGATTTTACACGTGCTATAAAATTAATATGTTTGTACAAACTTAGTGACTTTAAATAAAAAGCCATTTAATACTTGACTGAAACTTTAGATTTTCTTTAGTTTTATACTTATCAAGGCTTTAGTTTTATTTCGCAAGCTGTTGTAATCCTACCTAGCAAGTCCCTCACATATTCATACATGATCTGAGCAACAGTTGGACAGCCAATGGACGAGGCAATTTTAAATGTACATAAATTAGGGAGGATTACAGTGACGATGAAGAGGGGAGAGGGATGCATAAAGTTTGACAAGTCAGTTAGAAGGAAATGCAAAGGTCTTTCTCTAAGTGTTGCATCCAACAAACAAAAAATAATATAACATAAAATATGCACTTCAAAATCTATCTTATGCAAATGTATATCAGGTATTGCTACACAAAATTGAAGGCAAAACATCTAAGTGAAAATGCTATAAAAATGTACCCAAAAGTTATTATTATAAATATAATTAAAACACCTTTATTATATTTAAACAGAACATTAAAAAATTACCCAATAATCCCTGCTTAAAGCGACACTGTATAACTTAACCACTAGAGGTCCTAGACCTGTAATTTTGGAGTTTAATACCACTGAAGGCGCAATTAAAAAGTCTAAAAGTTTTGCAACTTGAAAGCAGACCAGTTTGGACCAGCAGACTGAGAAGTCATAAAGTTACTGGTAAAGACTATGCCACATTTACTCCTCTAGATCTAATCCAATGTGAGAATGAAATGAGAACCGGAGAGATGTTTGATCAGGTACATGTCTCATCTGTTATGCTGCCTAACAACTTTTACTGTATTTAACTCTCATGTTTCCTGGAGCTCAGACTGCACTAAACTGCAAAAAATATAAATCTAAGTAAGTAAATTTTTCTTAAGTGCATTTTTTCTTGAATTGAGTAGTAGAGTAGAGTAGTAGACACGTTGCCAATGGAACAAGACAATTTACATTTAAAATAAGAAATAACTGCAGTCACTTATTTCAAGTGCATACTATCTGATTACCTAATTTTAAGTCTAAACATGCTCATTCCAGTGGCAGATTCTTATTTACCCACTCAAATTAAGGGTAAATACACTTTTTTAAACTTTATTTTTACTCATTTTAATATATTTTTTGCAGGGTAAAACAGCGCTCAAGGTCACATGACAGAACCTATCAAATTACATGAGCAATTGAGAAGGGGACCCTGCACGGAGCACTGTTACAGCCAAGTAGAGTATATTAACCTGAACAATGCTTTTATACTTCTAAACTCTAAGATAATGTTTTTCAAAAGCTGTTATTAGGATGCAAAGAAAGCATTTGCTGATTCACTTCAACCGTTTGCCATAGCTTACATTAGTAACGACATAAAATAAGGATGGTTTAGGTGTTATAATGATGATGGAGGTGGGATGATCGTGCTCACTTGGTTGTCTGCCGAGAGGCGGGGCATGGAAAGGGTCCGCCCATGCCCATCCATTGGGTGATAGGGCTCAGTGTCGGAGTACCCGTCCCGCCCCATCTCCCTCATCTCTACAGTCTGCAAAACACAATGAGAGGGTGGGGGGCGTGACCACTGTCTGCTGGGGGAGTGGACACTGAGATGGAGCTTGATTATTGATCAACCAAGGGGGGGTGGGGGTGGGGAGGGTGGGGGAATTGGGTTGTGTGGAATGAATTAAAACTCGAAGGTATCTCTTTTTCCAAAAGATTTTATGCAAATTTAATAAATTTGTCTGCATTTATGCAACATGCAGTTACATAAATTAGCTGTTGCAACGTTTGCAGAGTAAAAAATAAGGCTAAAGCATTAAGCTCTGTAATAGATAATAAACAGTGCCTTACTGAAGATATGATTTCCCTTAAACTTTTCTACATTTATGACATCACAAACACAAACTTTAATATATTTTTATGAGAATTATATATGATAAACATTAAATTGGACATAATAAAAGTGGAAGGAGAAAAACAACAGTATCAGTTTTTCTTTTTTTTTAAAGAAATAAAACTCTAATAAATGTGATGTGCATCAAAAAGTAAATATTGGAGTGATGACAGACCTGGTGCAGCTGGAGATGTCCAATAAAGGTGTTTATTAAAATTAGATTTTGCAGAATGTTGTGTTGGTTTTTGACACCATTTTCTCATCAAAACATTTTTCTTTTTACATTTGTACCAGTGCAATCAACGGGCACTGCTTGGCTTTTACTGGTCCTTTAATTCTGCTGCTCAGCTATCAGTCAGCACAACCTTTATCTCCAAACTGGTAAAGTCTTTTCGTCTTCAATGCCATTTTTGTGAATGAACACCGTCTGACAAGCTGGAGGTCGTAGCCTTACATGGCATTATCAGGGCAGTAATTATGCAGATTGGCAATTGTCATGAACATGCGCTTACTTATGCACAGGTAGACTACATTACATTTATGAGGATCATTTTACACTATTATCTGAAGTTAAGAATATTTATTGAATCTATTATGGCACCCTTCTAGGAGCCCACTGTAGGAGAATAAGTAAGAAAAATGTATGACAAGAATAAGAAAATGTTGTTGCATGAGGCCCAATGTTTTGCTGAGAAGTAAACATCAAACGTCCACAGCCTTCAATGGAAATATTTTAAAACCAAGATTGCTATGTAATAATCTGAGGTATAATCTGGCTAAAGAACCTTCTTCCAAATGGATGCTGCATCCACCACATTTCTTGTAGCAAACATTTGAAATGTCTGATAGTTTTGACTGAAAAATTCAACAATCTCACTACTTTTGCAAAGACACCATATATGTGGACAACACAACGAAGAAATTTCCTAAACTGCTTTGGAAATAGCAGGTTTGGAAATATAATATGTATATAATAGTTTTGGATGATTAACTAAATAAATTTCATCATATTTTTTAAGTTTGGCATTCTTCTTTAATCATATAACCCTATTATATTGCCTTTTAGCCTTGATGATTTTATGTATTTATGTAATTTATGTTTTTCTCCTTTATCAAACAAATGTTATTCTGAGTTTACTACTACTTTGCCAATAAAATACATTTCATTTTTTTGTAATATCATTGTATGTAGAAAAGTTCAAGGGGTATACATACTTTTACAACATATGTTCAGTACAAAAACTTTATATAATGAAGCAGGTGATGCAGGTTCATGTAAACAATATTAACCATAAAAAAGATGTAATATATTATTTGTAGAAGCGGAAACATTCATATGGAAAAGCTGCTGCCCAAATATTTTAATAGCAGAGAAAATTATAAAATATTTACCTTAAACAACAACAAAAAAAAAAATCTATCTTCACTTGTAGTTCAGATATTTCATATTCGACATAAATGTTTTGGGAGGGAGAGCATAAGCAGAAAAGTAATAGCGGGGCAAACTTGAAGGTGCAAATTATGAAATAAATCTACCAATTCAAAATCACTAAAGGATAGCAGAGGTGTGAGGAGGCAAGATTAGGAATGAGGAGCAGGAGGACAATGAAATAAAAAAAAAGCCGAAAAAACTGAAACAGACTATGATTGAGAATCTACTGATGATTGGCTTATGGAGAGGCATGTTTGCTAAGAACCTATTGATAGAAATGATAAAATATAAAACTTTACAGCTTTAACAAAGCAATGGCACCGAGTAGAAATATTATGCGTATGGAACTTATTTACAAAAAACTGAATGGGAAAGGGGAGAAAAACGACATATCTTAACTTATTTTAAAGTTATGAAAAATGTGGCCATTTCTGTAAAGCTTGCCGTTTGTTTTGCAACAGCAAGAGTCCTCAGCAGGACTTCCATGGTCACATGTTAAATTATGTCATTAACCAAGTAACTGGTTAAGGTGTCTAATGCGTAATTGGAGAAGAGTGTCTCCTCAGCTTTAATGAGGCATCCTACTGGGTGCTTCTATGGATTACAATGTTTTGAGCCTTCATACCTGGGGATTATGGCGGTTTTCGTGGACGTCATCAGGATAGGGGTGGTCAGGGCTCCAGTTACCAGTCTTTTGGAACATTTCCTGTGCTTTAGCCGTCATCCATGATTGGCTTTCACTCAAACCACCTTCGGGAGGTCTGATATTTAGAAACACATACAAGCAGAGATTCAACTACAAATTCAGGTTCAGTTTAGCTCCACCTCACAGTCAATTCAATTCAGTTTACTTATATAGTGCCAAATTCACAACACATGTCATCTCAAGGCACTTTACAGTTCAACCAGATCATACAGTCAAATTGATACAAAGTTTTCTAATCTAAGGAAAACCAGTTGATTGCATTGACTCATTGACTTAAATACAATCCCTCACACTAAGCATGCTTGTAGCGACAGTGGAGAGGAAAAACTCCCTTTTAACAAGAAGAAACCTCCAGTCATGATGTAACACATTTAAGTGACTAGTTAAGTCAAATAAGGGTGGTTCTTAAGTATTAAAACTTTTTTATTTAACACTTGTAAGTTTTTATGTTTTACCTAATTTGTATATATATATATATATATATATGCACATTTACACCGCTCAAAACATAAAAGGGAACACTCAAATAACACATCCTAGATCTAAATGAATGAATGAAACACACACTTTAGGCTGATACAGCTTTGATATAATGTCTTTAAAACAGGTCAAAATTTGGCTCAGTATTGTGTGCAGCATTCAAATGCTTGATGAATCCCTACAATGCCTGGGCATGCTCCTGATGAGGTACCGGATATTGTTCTGAGGGATCTTCTCCTAGACCTGGACTAATTTGCCAATCCTGGCGTTCTCTGGCATATGCCAAGCATCCTGCACGGTGTTGGGCTGTGAGCACAACCTCCACCTGTGGACATCTGGCCCTCATACTATCCTCATGGAGTAAGTTTCTAGCAGTTTGTGCAGACACATGCACATTTGTGGCCTGCTTGAGGTAATTTGCAGGGCTCTAGCAGTGCTCCTGTTCCTTCTAGGACAAAGCGGAGATAGCGGTCCTGCTGCTGGTTTGTTGCCCTCCTACGGTCTGCTCCACCTCTCCTGGTGAACTGCCCCATCTCCTTGTAATGTCTCCAGCCTCTGGACAATATGTTGAATAACACAGCAAACTGTCTTGTTACAACTCAAACTAATGTGCCATCCTGGATGAGCTGAAAAATTGAAAAAGTAATTCCACTATACAACAGTGATGATAAACACCATTATGATGATACTCAGCTATATCTGTCTGTGAATCCAGATAAAGGAAATCCATTACATAGATTACAGGCATGTCTTGAAAACATGAAAACTTGGGTGACTCTTAACTTTCTGCTCCTGAATGCAGACAAAACAGAAGTTATAGTCTTTGGACCAGAGTCTTTGAAAAAGAAGCTGATTAGTCAGTCACTTGAATGGGATTAAATTGATCTCAGACAATAAAGTAAAAAATCTTGGTGTTGTCTTTGATCTGGACCTGTCATTTAAATCCCATATCAAAGAGGTTTCTAGAATTTCCTTCTTTCATCTATGCAATAATGCAAAAATTAGAAAATCTCCTGTCCAGGATTGATGCTGAGAAACTAGTCCATGCATTTGTTACTTCAAGGCTGGACTATTGTAATTCTTTACTGTCAGGAAGTCCACAAACTGTAGTTAAAACCTTTCAGCTGATCCAAAATGCTGCAGCCAGAGTTCTGATGAAAATGAAAAAGAGAGATCATATCTCTCCTATCCTGGCTTCTCTTTATTGGCTTCCTGTTAAATCAAGAATAGAATTTAAAATCCTCCTTCTCACATATAAAGCCTTAAATCGCCAAGCTCCGTCTTATATCAAAGATATGATTGTTCCTTAAGTTCCTAACAGAGCACTTTGCTCTGAATCTGCAGGTTTACTAGTGGTTCCAAGAATTTCTAAAAGTAGAATGGGAGGCAGATCTTTTAGTTATCAGGCTCCTCTCCTGTGGAACCACCTACCAGTTTTAGTCCCTGAGGCAAATCCCCTGCCTACTTTTAAGGCTAGGCTTAAAACTTTCCTTTAAAGCGTATAGTTAAGAGTGGCTCAGGTTATCGTGAGCTATCTCTATAGTTATGCTGCTATAGGCTTAAACTTCTGGAACACATAGGGACCCCTTTTTCATAATTCTGCTTCATTCTATCTCTATTTTCTCACTCTGCAGAATTTGTTAGTTTAATCTCTAATGTCATGCTCTCTCTGCTTTTTCTCATAGTAGCTTCATCTGGTCTGTTCCTGTTTGGCTGTGACACAATCCTGGAAAGGAATATCAGCTGTGCTGCTGCCATCAACACCTTTGTTTATATATGTTCAAGATAAGCCTGTTTTTCAGTGTAGTCCTGTTTCTCTGACTGTGACTGGCTGGATGTGCTCTCTTCATTCTCTGATATGGGAGCTGACTTGGAGCACGTCTGCCTGGCTGTGTGTTTCCTGGACAGGGCTGCCTGTGGAGCTGGTTGACAGTTGCCTTTTGTATCTCTGCTTCTTTTTCTAGTCTGCTTCTGTCTCCTTGAACCCCAGTTGGCCTCAGCAGATAGCCGCTCACACCAAGTCTGGTTCTGCTGGAGGTTTCTTCCTGTTAAAGGGGAGATTTTCCTCTCTGGTGTCGCTACAAGCTTGCTTATTGTGAGGGATTGCCTATGAGTCAATGAGTCGATGCAATCAAGTAGTTTTCAGTAGACTGAAAGAATATGCAAGCACATGAAGACTTGACATGACCTCATTTACACCTGCTCTACTTACATGCTGTTGATGTTGTCTGGTTGAGTGCTGGGGAGACCGTTCTGGCCTTGCCCCCCCTGGTTGTCCAAACCCCCTCCCTCAGAGGGTGCCTCCATGCGCTGAAACATTAATGGCGTTCGGTTCTGTGTGAGATACACGACATGGCCTGCAGGCTTGCATCAGGCAAACTCACGGGGGAACACATAAGGACACAAACACAGGATGCACTCGCAGCATGCACCCACATGGGGGTGCCACCAGCAAGCTGTGGATTTCCAAGGTAAAGCTAGCCACCAGGAAATTGATCAGAGTTCCTCTGTCCAGCCTGAACAACAGAAATGTGTCGTTTTATGACACATTCCTTTATGTTTAGGTAGAAAGCTGAGCTCAGATCTATCTTACTGTGGAACTTCTACCTTGGAGTTTGAGTTAAGATTGCTCTTAATTCACATATTTTAGAGCACATTACCAAAAAAAAAAAAACTATGAAAAGGATAAAAAGTTACCAAAAAAAGACCATCCTGTTGATTTGCTTTCAGCCAGATTTTCTAGGAATCATGCAACTTGGTGGAAGGTTGACATACGTTTCTAAACTACCTGTGCCACAAAATAAAGTTCTTTTAGTTCAATCAGACATATCAAATGTCAACCGCTTAAACTAGTTGGTAGCACTGCTGCCTTGCAGCAAGAAGGCTCCAGATTCGATTCCCGGCCCGGGGTCTTTCTGCATGGAGTTTGCATGTTCTCCCTGAGCATGCGTGAGTTCTCTCCGGGTACTCAGGTTTTCTCCCGCAGTCCAAAAACATGACTCTTAGATTAATAAGGTATTAGGTATGAAGACTAAAATCTCCTTAGGTGTGTGTGAGAATAGTTGTTTGTCCTGTAGTATAAATTTTTCTCTAGTTTAGTTTAGTTTAGCTGTCAGTGAAAGGTGACATTGCAACTAGTGTTGCAGCGATGTGAAAATCGGAGCTGATATCATTATCCAATAACAATATTTCATCATGGCTGATAACCAGTATCCAAATACGTCTATTTTCAAAAGTGTGGCTTTTGAAAATAGAGACACAGGATTCAAGAATCTTCATTCAACATTCCACCAAAAAATGAACATATTTAAGAAGAGACAAATCGGCTTTTAGACTGTACAACCTGGACCAGCCAAAGATAAAAAGCTTGATAAGACATGGTTTTATAACCATCCTGATGGAAAAAAGAAATGGTCAGAAAGACAAAAATAGGACAAGCCGACAAAACTTCATAACATAAAGCAAAAGACATGAAAAAATTAGACATACACACAAAAAAGCAAATTGACAAAGCCATTAAAAAGAAAAAAACACATATTTGTGATTTCCTTTAAAGGGATGTATCGCGAGACAATGAATGGAGGTACAAAAGTTCAAAAAGAAAGTTCTAAGAAAGAATCCACCGCTCACTGGTAAAGTTTGAGTTTCATAATAGGTTATAAATGTGTATTCTGCTCCACTTAAAAGCCAACAAGTTGATATTTCAAGCAATGATCAGCCAGCAGTCAGCTGGTAACCAAAGCCATTGAATTAGATGGACATTTACCTCTGACAGGGAAAGTAACACTCATTTCTAAGGCGTTACTATTCATTTATATATATACATATACATATATAAAAAACACTGGCATTATAGGCAACTTATTTTTCTAAATCAAAAAATACTACTAATAGAATACTAAAAATACACTTACGACTTTACAACGGCTAAAATTCTGTTAGTTTACGTCAGAGTTGGAAGTTAAACAGAAAGCTGTACTGAGGCTATAAGGAGTTAAAGTATCCAGACCACATAAATTGAGTCAAAACTTATACTTCTTATGATCAATCTATAAGAAAGAGGAAACAAAGTCAATTGTGTCATTACGTTTCATCTTTTTTTTGGGTGGATTCATCCTTCCCAGTGGCGATTTCTCATTGAATACTAGGGAGGCTAAACTTCCCCTGTAAATTTCAGGAAATTATTGATTAAATATGCGTTGTCAAACTTCATAAATCTAGTCATAAAAGTGCTTTACATATGCACTAAAATGCACCTAATTTCATGAGTATGTTGCACATTTATCAGCTGTTCATTCCGCTCTCCGACGCGATCTCCGCTCTGTTCTGGAGCAGCAGGACTCTGCCTGGTCAGCCTCTGTGAGAAATCTGTGTTGGGTTTTGAGCATTGATCTATTGAGGTAAGCAGCGTTAAAGTAGAGCCCTGATTGGATAACAGGGCAAAATATGTAATTCCCAGGGAGGTAAACGTCTTAGGGATCTAAGGAGATGGTGAAGGTCGTGAAGCTCGATGCTGATTAGCAAACATACTTAAGGATTTTTGACTGACAGTGGACAGACAGCAAGGATCTTTTCCCTCCTGAGTTGAGAGGGAAAACTAATGATTCAGTCAGAACACTCATCTTGTGCTGAACTCTTGCCATTGTTTCTGGAGTTTATTATTTCAGTGCGCTTCACAACAGCTATTTTCTCCCTTTGTTGTAATATGTTTTATGTATTTCAGCATTTGTTAATGCAAAATGTGACGTTTGGAGTTAAAACCATTGAGCCTCCCCTGTTTCAGAAAGCAGTAGCCGCCACTGATCCTTTCATACTGTAACTCAATGTATGACTGTTGAAGACAGAAAACAATAAAGCAAGATGACGTTGGATTGAGCAAAAGACATAGCGGAGGTTATGTACAATAGAAGTGCAAAAATATACCAAAACATTTGGATATTGTAACATCAAACATTTTGGAAAACATTTAAATTGGACTAACATGCTCTCCAATCACTGCTGTATTTAATTTATTTTTAATAATAGAAATTTCACAAAAGTAAGATAAATCAGTAATCAGGGGTCTGCAACCTGCATCTACAGCTGCATGTGCTCATTTTCATTTAAATAGAACTATACTAACATGCTGGGCTAATTGCTTTATCAATGCAGATGTGTATTTAATTTGTTCATCAATATCTATTTTAAAAAGAGGACTGCTTAGTGTGTGTGGTGGACCTTTAAGAAATGTTCTGCAGCATTTAAGCATTTGATTTGCAGCAGTTGCTTATTGATATATTTATCTAACATGCTGTGTAACCTACCTTCCACCCTACAAAGTATGTATCTGTTTACTGTGACATAGGAATTACATTTCTTTTACAATAAGTATTTTTTTTATGACAAAATTGCAATTTCAACTCTATATTGAGTTTCCTCTGCAGTATCGTCAAGCATGCAGATGTTTCATTTCTTGGTTTCATTGTTTTGTGAAACAATACCATTACAATGGACTTTACTTTTACTGTTAGTCCTTTTTTCTAGCCAGGGCTGGACAATAATTTAATAACCACAATTTTATTCTATAAATATGAGTATTATTTATATTTCAATATGCCTTACAGTCCATATCCAAAATGTTATATTGTATGAGTTTCATAAACTAATAATTGTCGGAAGTTCACATAGATCTCTTGCGGGCATTCTAGGCAATCTTTCTGAAGCTTTTATCTGTATTACATTGCTATTGAAATTTTATTGCATTGGCAAAAATTTAAAAAACATATCCTCATACAAGGGCTGCTCAGTGGCGCAGTGGGTAGCACTGCTGTAAAATTATAGTAAAATATAAATAGCAAAATATAGTAAATATATTAAAATAGTAAAAGAAGACATAATAGATATTATTTAAACAAACTGGACTTTCATACTCTCATTTCTTTACCCTTTTTGTGTAGTTTGTTCACCATATGCAGCATATTGTGCCATTGAATACAACCCATTAATAAGGACTGGTAATAAAAACCATCTTGTGGAATTGGGTTGAAGGAAGAAAACTCAAAACTTAAAGACTTCTGTACTGAAAACAAAGTGAGAGGAAGCTACAGTATCGGCAAAACGCAGTTTGCTTAGATGCATTTTAAATGTTTGATCATGTTACTACTGTAGCATTTCAATGGAAAACCAGAAGTAAACATCTGTTCTAATTCATTAACCTCCGCCTGTCAGGGAACAGGAAAAGCTGACATCTTTTAGAATATATCAGAGTTCAAGTAAAGATCTGAACTCTTTTGGGACTGCTATATGAGATGCTGAAGAACACAAACAGAGAAATGGTACTCTGATAAGGTTAGGAAGTGGGGTTTGTGTCTTTTAACTGTTATTATGATTATGAAGCTTGCAGACGTTTGACAGACTAAATCCATGTAATTACTACCTCAAATTTCTGCATGGAATTTGGAGGCATAAGAAGAGTGGAGAGATGTTTTCCAATTGATTACATAATGATCGAAAAAAGAACAAAGACATGGACACAGTGGGAAGCGAGTGCATCTCATAGTCATCAACTAACAGGAAGGGAGGAGCACTGACAAAAGGTAAGGCCATGTGGTATCATCATCATCATCATTATTTAGAAAAAATTAACAAAACACAAAACAGAAAAAAAGCAGTTACTGTCAGAACACATGAAAGGTGAGAAAAAGTAATGCAGTATAAAACAAAAGGGTTGCAACGTTTTAGAAAAGGTTAACTTGCAAAAGATTAAAGGAGACCAAGTGTGCAACACGATGCTATATAAAACTTTAGGATACATGCAAAAACAAAAAAGGTAGAGCATTTATCTAGAGCAAAAGAAGGTTGGTTGAAATAGCATCTTTATATAATTTAACTATGTTTTAATCATTATTTCCATATTAACAAACAGAGTACATTTAATCAAAGGTGCAGATGTATCGTATAAAGATGCCTAGCAAGAATACAAGAACATAAAAGGTTTGTGCACGTTGGAGCTTTCCCAGAGATGCCTGGCGGGGTCTACCTGTTCCTCTCGCAGGGCCTGCATCTTTTTGGTCTTGCTCTGTCTGTAGTATTCCATGATCATCATGGCAGCGTAGATTTTGCCCACTGTCAAGTCTGTGGCTGCTGAAAAAATGACAAGTTACCCTGGAAGATTAGACCGGAGCGAGATGGGACCCTGAGCCATGAGGGGGATATGGGAGTGGGGACAAAACACAGAAACACAGAGAAATATACAACAGCATGCAAAATAGATCAGCAATGGTGACAGCTGTGATCTTTTTTTCTTTTAACACCAATAGAATCTAAGTTTGAAGTTTAAAAACTAAAATGAAAAGCAAGGACTGGTAAGAAATCAAACCAATTTTTTATACTCAGTCATTTTTTCTCCTAACCAGGATACATACAGCATAATTCAATACGTTATACATATATAAATGTTATAGAATAGGATAAATCAAATAATTTTACTTCTAAGATGATATAAAAAATGACAGCCAATGCTCATTTTTATTGTTTTAAGTGTAATAACGTGTTTTTAATAAGTAATCCATGACTTGATGTTTCTTTGGGGGTTAAATATTATGTGGCACTCTTCAAAATAGGAAAGCAAATAATCTTCCCATTAAAATATAAGCTGTATGCCGATCTTTGTAACACAAGAAAAACAAGACAATAGCTTTTCAACTTAATGTCTACGGTCAGAGCAATGGTACAATACTCTGACATTTCACAGAGTAGGAAAGGCATAAAAGAGAGCAAAACACAGCCAAAGCTTGTGATCATAAAACTTGGGCAAAAAAGTTGCATCTCAGGATCATTAAACCTCCATAAAAAATAATTTACATTACAAAATAATGTTCAAAAAGCCATACTAAAAAAAATATTTGCCTTCTGCTGGTGGAAGTTCTTACTCATCCAAGTTAGTCATTCTCAACCAACCTTAAACAGAGGAGGAGGGCTCAGGTTACAGCTCTCGAAAACCTATAACGCAGCTTTGAGTAGTTTCCTTCCCACTATCACCTCAATCCTCATTGCCATGCAGGTGGTCGAAACATCGCTCCTGACCCTAACGACTCCCCATTACAGAGGCATGGGCCAGTTTCGGTTTAAATGGCAGGCCAACAACAACTTCAACGACTACCCATTACAAGGGTTGGAGCTGTTTCGGTTTATTTTGCATGTTTCTTAAGCCACATCAAGGCTTTTGTTGGGCTACTCTATAAAGCCTTGAGCTCCACATTACTCCATTTTGAAATGAGAAAGCTTTCTGGATGGGCAGTGAAACGTCATCAAACTTGGAAAAAACAGTCCAGTGGTTTTGTTTGGATCGAAGGCAATACTCTTACTTGAACTATTTGTTAGTATATTTCTGGTAAGAGGAGGAACCAAAACAGACCTGCTGTTAAAAATGGCAGCATTTTTATATGCCAAGGTAGTATTTCAGAGTATAAATGTATTTCATTTATGTAGTTTTTTTTTTTTTATTGTTAGCAGTTGTGGCAATCTGTGTGGAGGTACGCTACAACCAAGGTTTTTCTTCTTCTAAAGAATCCTAAAAATAGCTGTAACCATTGCTGGTGTAAACAAACACAATAATACAACACTGTACAGTTATTAGCACAGAAAAGCTTGTAGTCTTTTCACAGGCAGAGTTTGTGCTTTATGCAATAGTGAACATTCTCTTTATTGTACAGTTATGTTCTCAAAGTTTATTAGAGCTAGGGACGATTAAGCCACCTCACTAAGAAATACAGACAAAGTAAACTAATAATTCCTAGAAAACACGTGCTCAATTTTTTTCTAAAAACTCTAGCCCTAAAGTTCCAGAGTTTAGAAATAAAAACATAAAAACACTTAGAGTAAGAAAAATATTGAGCTTTTTTCTTGTTAAATAGTTTTTCAAAATCTTTAAAATTTCCCATTGCAGTTTTCAAAGCGGCGTGGCTGCTTTGTCCTTCATATTCAAAACTGATTCTACAATCCTTCCATTTATACAGTCGTCTCGTTATTGCAGTCGGATTTCACTTAGCTTTTGAAAGAATAGTAGATAGATGATATTCTATTCAATCATGCATGTAACAAGTTGTCTATACTCCAAAACATGCAGAATAATAGTATGTTTAGTATAGTAAATACTAGCATTCCATTCTTTTAAAATTAGCAGCTGAGCTCATATGCAACTGAGTTTTATTTTCCTGTAGTGAAAAGACTTCTATAGAGGATCTTCTATAGCAGGCACCCCTGATACCAGCAACAGAGTGGGTTGAGAGGTTATTAGTGTGGGTATGGATTTGTAATGCATCTTTGAATAAATGCATGTACAGTTTACTGTGCGTGTAGTGTGTGCTGTGGTTACACATAATCAGAGTTGGGCTGTGTATTTTGTATGTATAACAAAAGACTATATTCTTGGTTCAGCATCTTAATTTATAGATAACAATGTGGTTTAACAGCAAAGATGGTGAACAAATTCCCAGTATGGGCTGTTTAAACAGAGAGCTAAATATATAACTTTCTGAAAAAAAAAGAGAAGGACAAACAACTTGCTATTTAAAGGGTTTTATAGAACCTACTGTTAAACTTGGAATGTTATAAAAATATCTTTCCTTCTCGTTTGAGGTAAGGACTGCTAAACAACCAATATAAGATACTATTAAATTCATGATTTTTACACTAATGTTAAAAAAGGGCTTATCTTTATTTTGCCTTAACACAAGGCACAGGCTGAGGTAAAACAGTACTAACTTCTACCTGTATTATTCATGTATTATCTAATTAGCTTTATGCTAATTCCTTTCACATACAGCACTTTAAATTGTCTGTCTTTCCTATCTCCCAGATATTTACACCTAAAACTCAACTATTGCAAGCTGTATCATATGGTGACATTTATATAGAGTCTAAATTACTTTATAGCATATACTGTAAGGAATTAAAGTGAGCTTCAACAAGCATATAAATATATGACTACATGAGGCCCAATACCTTTAACAACCACTTCTGCAACTACCTGCGAAAGCCTAAACTTTTGCAGACCATCGATGAAAAGTAAGTAGTTGGCCCTTCATGTTTCTTCACGGTATATATTTTTAAAATGCTACCATCACAGAAAAACATCTTCATAAAGTCATTCTCTGTTGTAGGTCTTATAGAATCAAATTAAAACAACACAAGCATCTTCCCCTGGACTAGAATGGCCTGCAGCTAATATAGTCTATGCTTGACTTTAAAACTGTGACTGACATGTAGCATGGATTGTAAAATTAACTGTTGGATGTATACATGTATGTAAGAACTAAGTAACACTAATATTTGTTTATGCTGCAGATTTCTGATCAGGAGGTGCAAAGCAGTGAATGACACTGACTGGTATAAGCTGTCCTCTTGGTGAGTCGGTGATTGGACACAAATACTATACACCACTATGCCCAACACCAGCTGTTTCCCTGTAACTTACCCTTGTGCGGAGTAACCAGCAGGTCCAGAGTCTTCTGTGATAAATTTGGCCAGATAGCCATCATCTCTTTTCTCAGCTCTGCATCCATCTGGTGCTTATCTGCACCACCTATGTTAGCCCACAACCAAGCATCCACATACATATTGAATATTTGCATCCATGGCATAAATTAAAAACATATAAAACCAGGGAAAGAAGATACACATGGGAGGCAAATTAAGCATATTAAGACCATGGATATAAATTCTCACACGTGTAAACATTCACCCCAAAACAGAAGAATAATTAGTTTGTTTCAGGCAGAGATTTAATCTACTATATTTGTAAAGAAGAATGAAGAAAAACTGCAACCTAACATTCTGTATTTGGCCTATTTTAGTTAAAACATCACCCTTATAATACATTTGAAAAATAAAATTGAAACCTGAAACCAATTTATAGAATTATTTACACAGAGTCGTCTTTTTTAAATGTTGATTTCTAGTAATTTTCATGTTAATACCTGACCACTTAAGGCATAACAACTTTTTTTAATTTCAGAAAATTTGGATGTACATACATTGTTTTCAGTGCAAACATGTAACAGCCAAAACAAAGGTGTTGGAGGAGCAATATGGATTTGGACTTAACCACTGTATAGGAAAACCCACTGAAAGTTCTGTCCAAGAAAAAAAACAAAAAAAAAAAACCTCTGCAAAATTAGAAAAGTGAATGTCATTGCCCTAAGTGTAATGGGGACATTTACTGAGGGGTGGCACAACAGTGTGCTAAGCTGACATCAAAGGATTAAATGGCCATTTACTGACTTGGTTAAGAAATTCCTGTCAGGGTAGAGCCATTAAGGTTGCATTTCTGAACCCTCATAATCACCATAAAACAGCAGTGTGTGTGTTACTGTCCAAGGGATCCACTGTAGGTGGGGGCTTCCTGTAACCAGTTGCTTGCCAGTTTGAGCCTCTACGTAGTGTCCCCAAGGACAGGGTAAGAAACGAAACCCCTTTTTCTGGATGTCGGTTGTCAGAGATTCCCAACGGTGCAACCAATTATATAGCTGCCTTGGTTCGGTCAGCTGTGAGCATTACAAAGACAGGCCAGCAAACTGTCCAGTGTCTACTGCACAAATCCCATGGTCAGGTTTACTATGCAGATTCAGTTGTTAAAAGACCATTCACTGGGCATTTATGTTACTTTCAAATAAAAGTAGTTCTATAGTATTATAGAAGGAGAGTGTACAAAAGTATTAAGCCATCATCAAACCAAGCAACTGCAGAGTAGTTCCTGAGAGTATTCAATACATTATGAGCACTTCTCACTCTCAAGCAAGTCTGAAGGTGCTAACACTAGTTTACGTTTCAGGCTGAATTTCCTGGATTTCATGACCTAGCAATGGCTCTCAAAAACCTAAACCAAGGGCCCCGATGGAAGGCTCCTTGAATCTGTAGCTGTGGCAAGAATTATCCTTCCACCTACTTCGCAGCTTTTGGACACATTCTGTTGGGAGGTGAGAAATTAAGACCACCCCAGCATCGTTTGTTAGATAGATAAGTTAGCAACCCAATTCCTTCAGAATGAATAAGGGCCTTGAACTAATAAATATGTTTATAGCCTTTATAGCCTGTATTGTTTGAAACAGATTTGGGATAACATCATCCATGAAAGTACTGAGAGTAAATTCTTATTGAAGACTCTGGCCATTGCTCATAGTTCATGGACCAAATTCCTCATGTTTAGCCAAGAGATAGGTACAGAATTTGGTATTTTTTTTAGCTGATGACCAAATCTCTCAATATTAAAAAGGACCTATTCAGGTAAGATCAAACTGTACCATCTTTAGGTATTTAATGCATCACTGTGACACAGAGGGAGAGAGAGACTAGGTAATTTTCTGTGCCGGACATGAATATAGTATTGCATACAGAAAGTTGTGATGACATTAGTAGCTGTTGGTACAGTCAATACAGTCAATAGAGCAAGCATGGCTTATAGAAAGTGCTCAAAAGTATGGCGCCACTTTTCAAAACACAGATTACACTTGCTGCAATATTTGTGACATGAAGTGTAACACCAGCAGAGGAAATAATTCTAATCTGAGGTAGAATTAATTAAGTAATTCCTGTTGAAAGGTCAACAACAAAAGCTTTTTTGGTGGTAAAGAGGTAAGGACTGAACTTTTTATTGGGCAGTGCTCCTCTTTTCTGATGATCATTTAGTTTGTCCATTTATTTCACATTTCTCTGTGTAATTAATCCATTATTTGAGGTTAATGTTGAATTAATTGGGATGCACATATATAGCTAAAGAGATAATTTGTGTTAAATTTTAAATCATACCCTTGGCAATCTTTATATCCAGTGCTGTCCTGATCAGAGCCATGAGGGTGGAGTTAAAATGCACTGTGTTGTCATCAGCGACCGGTAGATCCATGCGAAGTAGCCTCTGTGGAGAACCAGTCAGGATGAGAGGATGAGAAAGGGAGGTGTCCTCACTAAGGTGGGGTGTCCTAAATCTCAAGGATGGGGAAAGGGTAAGGAGGAGGGGGCAGGTTTGAGAGAGCTCCATAGACACAGCCGGTTAAAGTTTAACTTGATTCGCCCAGTTTGTAGGTTTTATCTCCTAAAGCAAGAAAGACAACGCTTCCAGTCACTAAACTTAATCAGGTCTTAAATAACCAGCTAAATCAGCAAACGTTTAGCTTTCATGTGTTAAGCATGCTACTTAATTTGGGTATTTTTAGGCATTTTCTCGATTGAAACTTGTAAAAGTAAGTCCTGGTGTCTCCTGTTTCTGCAGTGATACTCTATACGACAGCACAACTATCCAATGCTGCTAAGCAACTGTGAGAGCTGCAAAACCACAAAGGAAGAACAATCAGAGCCAAAATGGCATCCGACCCAACCTGTGCCCATGTTCCCTATATGTGTGAATGCTTATGTGCATTTACACATTTCTGTTGTTGCACACATATAGAATTATATATATAAATATATATGTATATGACAGTAAACATACACCAACGTGCCCAAACCCCCACCGCTGCCACCCTTATCCAACCCTCTTTCCCCACCTAAACACTTATTTTCACAGACTGCAATTAAGATAACTTAATTGGAGTCCTATGGAGACAAAAACCAATTGACTGAAGAGCAACAGAAGTATCACTGGTTTAGTTCTGCATTTTCAGGAGACAGCTATTGTTTCATTTAACCATGGCACCTGCTATTGAGCTCCCCCTACCTGTAAGGAGGTTCCCTATCTTCACATATCTATGCTTGGTAAAACAGATGGAGAAAACTGCAGATAGGACGAAGCAAGCTTGTCCAGCTTGGGTCGCTTGCTGTACCTATCCTGACCAGCTGGCATCCATCCGATTTACCTACGAACATGAGCGTTGGGCACTCACGATGGAAGGCACGACATGGCGGCGGGCCTGTGTACATGCTCCTGTGTTCCTGAGTGTGCATGAGTGTCGGGGATGCCCAAGCCAAGTGACATGGTAGGCAAGGGCATCCACCAACACTTGCAGGGCTCAGGATGCAACAACTTTTATGTTACCCATAGCCATGCAACAAAAAAAAAAACTACATGCAAACGACACACAACAATCCGAGTCAAAATCCCAAAATGCAAACAAACAAAACATGCAACATGCTTTCACTTCACTCTCAAATAATTTAAAGCCCCAACTCATCCACCCTACCCACTCCCCACAACTTGAATAAATAGTTTTACAAAACAAGCAGCCGTGCATCCACGCAAAGAGAGTATCCTCAATTCACAGGAATTACCTTTGGGAAAAAAAATATTTACGTGTAATTTTTTTGGCCTCTATAATTTCTCATTTGGTGATCCATTGATCAAAGTCAAATCAAACCACAATAGTACCACTTTATTTAATGCCAGGATCTCTCTCAATGCCAAAAGGGTGCATTGTCTGGATTTAAGTACTAAAAGGGATTTGAGTTGCAGCATTGTCTGAATGGAGAAAAAAAACCTTAAGGGGCATAAGAGATGATGTTTTTTCTATTTTGTTCTTATTTTTGTTTTCGACCAACCAGTCATTACATCTGCAATATTCTAAGATAAGAAGAAAGGGATTATAAAGGGGGTTGCATGATGGGGACAGTAAGTAGAGCTAGCTTGGTCAATGTAGGACTGTTCATGAGATGTAGTTACAGGTAAAAGGGGAGGTCAAGAATGCAGAGGGAGAGAGGTTTGTGGAAACAGTGAAATACATCAAGAAGAATGAAAAGATATTAATATTCTAGGGTTAAATGGAAGTCTAAGTGTGTCTGTGTTGAGAAAGAGAAAAAGAGTGGCTGAAAATTACAAAACACCACAAAAGATTGAGACAAAGACTAAAACAACACTGACATAGGTAAAGACGTCAGTTCAGGAAGTAGCAATAATCAATTAAAGTTTTTATTTTTTCTAAGGTAGAATTATGTTGTCAACTATAAATTAAATCAAGAACATCAACCTTGTAGGTAATAATAGTTTCAACTGTCCCATTTTTATTCCACATCTTCCTGATCTTCTAGGGACCTCTAAATAGACTATTTCATACAACTTGATTCAATGTAAACCTAAAAATCTGAACTACATTATGAAATGTACTCCAGGGATAAGCTAACCACTATAACAAGAAAACAGTGGAGAGATCAAATAGTAAGAGTACAGTAAAAAAAAAAAGTGTATGTCTGGATGATCAAAAGGATGAAAAAATGATGTTTGTGATTGTTTACAGACAATTTGTTGGAGAAGTAGACAGAAGCAGAGGGACAGAAAAACTGAAATTAAAGGCAGACCAAAGAAAAATTTATTAAAATAAAAATTAGGACTCTTGAGTAAGACGGAGCAGTTGAGCATTTTTTAAACAGAAAATGGCAGGAACGACAAATAAAGGGTTCATATAAGATAAATAAATAAATAAATAATCCATCCAGATGCAATAAACACTAGAGACCTTAAAAGGTGGGTTGCTTTTAAATAATTTACCATATTGTAAATTTCAGTTAATTCAACCTCTTCCAGGTTTTAACGTATTTCAGCCTTCACCTTGAAGTTTGAGTCCAAATCAAACTCTCTCAAGCCACTTCTATGTCTCAAGTCCCACTTAGCCTTTTCTCATATATCTTCCATGCATATCATCTGTGACAGACGAAATTCTTATTGCCCCCCTTTTGAGGGTTAGCTCTCCCTGATTCTATGTGGTTTTCCATGCCGACAACTGCACTCTGTATTGCCCCATTTACACTACCCCTCTGAAACCAATCCCAGCCGAGTTCGGACCAGATTGGATCAGTTAACCATGCGGAGCTTGGTTCTTGTGACCATTTACACATTGGTTACTCGCCTCCTCGGTCCATGATTTTACAGCTCTCAAGGCGTGAATTACACAACAAAAATGTCGGCACTCATATCATCCAGGAACTTATGTGCCTGGATAGCGTGCTCCGCCAAAATTTCATTGAGAGCCTCTGTCTTGGCATCATCCCAGGCTCTTTTGATGCTGTTTATTGTCAATAGGCTGAGAAGAAGTTTGTGAACAGGTGAAGAGATTTTTAAAATCCAGATCTCTTCACCTGTTCACAACAACCCGGTTGTGTCTGGCACAGTCCAGTTAAGCTGCATTCCATATGAAATCAACAATCATCTCAGTTCCGAGCTCAGACTGCTCTTGGCAGTTTCAAAAGGGTAACATAAATGGGGCAATTGTTTCTGTGTCAATTAAGGGGATCAAAGTAGACCCAGCTCAATTAGTTGTGCTTGCACCCAAAGGGGTTGCATACAACTAGGCCAGTGAGGATGGTCTGCAGGCTGCAGGAGGACTTGGTATCCTCTCCATGCATAGCATATTTCTAAAACTTTAAACTCTCCAGACAGAGAGATCCTTCAGCAGACCATATGCAATATAGACCTACTAATGTAAAAAGCACTGTCACTTTTGGTTAGAGTTTTATTTGTGTTGTTGTGTAAGATCATTCTCTCTAAACCATTAATACTCTATAATTACTAGTCTCATGTTTTCCCATCATTTATATATACTAAAATTACTGTTTGGAATTTATTTTATTTGCTTGGGCCACACAGTGGCGTGGTGGGTAGCACTGCTGCCTTGCAGCAAGAAGGTTCCAAGTTCGATTCCAGGCTTCCATACTCTTACTACATCAAGTTTGCATGTTGTCCCTGAGCATAAGTGGGTACTCCAGCTTCCTCCCACAGTCAAAAAACTTGACTGTAAAGTTCATTGGCTTCCCTAAATTCTTTTTAGGTGTGAGAGTGTGCGTGAATAGTTGTGTGTCTCTGTGTTTCCCTGCGATGGACTGGCGACCTGTGTAGGGAGTACCCCGCCTCTCGCCAGTAGACAGCTGGAGATAGGCAGCAACACCCCTCGCGACCCCAGCTGGGATAAAGCATGATGGAAAATGGATCAATTTTACTGTGTTTTGGATCATGGCTTGTAGCATTTGCCTCTTTCATTTTAAACATGTAAGACAATATTAATAATGTCAGTAACATGTTGAACTGTTAATTAATAGGAATCTTAACTCATTAGATGCCTTATTAACAATGCTGTTTTAGTGAACCTGGATGGCACGAATATAGAGCAAGAGCATAGGTTTACAGAAGAACAGAGAGAAAGATGACAAAGACAAATTAAATGCAAAAAATTTTAACATGAAACATTTTCCTGGTGGTCATAGCCCCAAGAAGGGTTAAAACATTTTTAAATCTGATTTTACTTGAATAAAATTCCATTGATATGAATACAGGTGGATGTGGGCATGTGTTTACGGCAACTTATAAGTCATCCGCAGAAATAAGAGGCGCAGAAGACTGAAGACAGAAACCCTCACCGGTCCTTCTGCACCCGCTGTGCAGGCAGAGAGTCAAACTGTGTGAATGTTGCCTTGAGTTATACATTCCCATTTTAACTGCTGTTTGTGTGTTAAACACAGAAGAGGTTATGAAAAAAAAAAAAAAATCTGGCTTCAAGGTTGACATTGCTGCTTTTGTTATGCATGAAGACACTATAACTATATGTAACACCAATGTAAATCAAGTCATAGTTTCTAATTGACTAAAAAACATATTAAGGTTAGGTACCATATTTTATTCATATAGTATATTTTTTGTGTGTAGATTCTACATTGCTTTAGTTTTTTTTACCAACAGATGCCATAAATGGGAAAATTCAGCAGAACTTGATTTAAAGTGTTGAGTTTCCTCTAATGTTTAACTAACTTTATCACTTTGGTGTTTATTTTGGTTGCACACAAAGGATTTTGCTGATTGCCTAATGTTTTGTATTGTTTGTATGTGTCCAAGTGTATGTGAATGAGTCTGTGCAGATTGCAGAAGGACTGGCAAAACCTCCCGCATTCCCTTACTTCTGCGGTATGACAGGAGCAAATAAAAGAGGACTCACTGCCACTCCACTATTACTTTACTTGACTGCACAACAAAAGCCCATCCCTCCATCCCCACGGTCGGAGAAAGAGAAGAGAGGACATCGCTCACCACCACCACCACCACAACCACCACTAACAAACAATGAGGAGAACACCACTTGAAGGAGGTAAAAAGGATGGGGCAGTGGATGGAAGAGGGTGATTAGAGGGAGGAGAGAAACAGCAAGGTTTCAGCTGGTGAAAGAGAGGTTCTCCCCGGCGATGGGGAAGAGTAAGGAGAGAAATGGGATTGAGGGATAAATGTGAAAAGAAAGGAATAATAGAAAGGGAAAAATAATCAACAGGGTGGAGGGGTAAGGTGGGGGCGAGTCTACCTTATAGGCGACCCGGGCGGGACACCTCTTCCCGAGGCCTAGCGGCGGACACATGTGTCTTAGCATCTGATACATGTCTGTGTAACTGATCCGACCGCTGGAGTGGCCACAACAAACAGACATCACATGGGCACATGCGTTCAACACGCACACATTGACACACAACGGACAAAACGAAGACAGACAACGTGAAAATGAAAAAAAAAAAAAACATAACAGAGGGTAGGAATGTGGAGCATTTAGGGGACACACACAGAGGTGTGTTTGGGGGCAGAAACACGAGGAGTAAAAAAAAGAAACAACAAAGGAAAGGAAGGGTAGGGGGGGACAAATACACAGAGGTTATTGTTTTGGTCACTGTGGAAATGTGGTTGCTGTGGTGAGAGAAAAGAGATAGAGGGAAAACGATAGAGAACAAGAGGGTGTTTTATGTGCCCTTTACAGTCTGGTATTTTTACAGAAATGTGGAGGGAGGAAAAGAAGGGTAAGGAGAAAGATTAGAATTAGGCAAAAAAGGGTTTAAAGAGGAGGTTTCATTTATGTTAAGTTAGTTAGTGTGTTACCGTTCTATACGAGGTGAAAAGGGAATGATTATTTATTATTCTTTTGGTCTTTGCCCACTTTTGCCACTCGGATAGAACTGACAGCGAGGCTTCTAGCAGGCTGAGAAAAGCGCCACTGCAGAAATCGGAATGAGTCACTGTGATAAGTCAATGCAGTCTGTTATTAGGGCCGCGTGTCCACCGGGACTCTCCACACATAGCTGCACTTACAGATGTTCAAGAAAGCCCTTCATGGATTTCTGAAGGACTTTGAGTCCAAATTAGGACTTCATTTCCTGAACCACATGATCAAAAACGTTCAGATTAAAGCAATTCAATGACATCTTAAACGTTCGATGTTTTTTCAATCAAAATGATCTCTGTTTGGACATGGATACAAGAAGGTTTGGTTTTCTGCAGCTGTCATTTTCATGGGGAAACAGTGATAAAATATTGTAAATAAGGCGTTTCAGTCTTAAAACACACTGAAACCACTGGGCTTGGGGTTTAGAAGCAGCCGATCTAGTTTGAGAAGAGGTAGAACAGCAGCAGAACAATTCCTTATTTGGTCGGTGCAGAACTTACACTCTTTTCAAAAACATCTGTCAGCACAGATATTTAATAAGAGGGTACTGGTGGACACAAAACCTTTGGAATCCATCCCCTAAATCGCACACACACACACCCTTCCCCTTTTCCTCTGCCATCTTTACCAGCAATACAAACAGATGAGGTTTGGCCTTGTTATTTCAGTATGGTTAGATTCATCTGCAAGTGTAAATAAAACTCTGTCGGTGTAAGAAAGCTAAAGCTGCTTAAAGAGATGCTCCCCAAATACGTTTTTGTTCATATCCTGTAAGATGACAATAAATCTTTCTATGTTAATAAGCTAGGTAGTGTTGGTAAGGCATTTAGGTGGAGAGTCCAGGAAAGAGTTTATAAGACCCACTTAAAAATAAAATGTTCATTCCAGCCTCTTGCAGGTATGACTGTGTTGCATTCCCTAATGATTATGGTGTCCTATTGGGACATAGCAATCAGCCCCCCAATCTACACATATAAGTTGCTTGGAGTATGGGGCAAGGTTTTAAATGGAAATTTACACAAAGTCCTGGTGCTGTGTGTTTAGTGATGATAATCATAAGAGGTGGAAACCTGATAGGCAGCAACTCATTGGCTGTAAAATGTCACAAAAATGACTTCAGCATCAGAGCTTCTATATGGTCAGATCGGGGTGAAATTGATGTATTTGGATCAGCATTGACTCATGCTGCTTATTAAAATACTTTGTCTTTTCTGTAGAAAAGCTATAAAAACAAAACTTCTTTAATTGCATGCAATGTCTTGTACAGATGCTAAAAAGACTTTGCAATTAGCAAAACCTGCAAAATCATAGAAAAGCCTACATATTTTCACAAGTAACGACATGATTATCCACTGGAAATGGTGCCACTAATGTTTTGACATTTCCCCCCCCTCTAAATCAACTATACGGGTAGATGTTATAATACTGGATGATGTGTTGTCGAAAAAAAATCTTCTGACCTTCAAGGTTAAATGACTGACATATAGATCTAAATAATATATACATATCTTCAAAGATACATATATCTCTTAAAAGTAAAAAAATGAAAGTAAATATAAATTCATTACTCATACTGTAGTGTGAAATATGTCAAACCTTTATTCCTTCTAATTTTGATGATTATCGGTTACAGATTATGAACTCCACATATTCAGTTGTCCTAAATTTTTATTATTTTGTAAGATCAATAAAAAGGACTTTTAAGCATACATTTATTTATCTTCCTTTCACAAGACTCAATACTTTGTTTGATCTTGTTTTGCAGGAATCACTAAACTATTGTACCCTGGCATGTAGGTGACCAGCTTGTGAAACTTCTGAGTTGTAATGGATGCCCAGTTTGTTTTGATAGCAGCCTTTAGGTCATCTAATTATTGGGTCTAGTGTCTATGAATGTCAGACCAGTTTAGTGGCAAACTGAGCAAAGTACCACCCTTATCACACAAGCTTTTGGTAAATTTCAGTGTGGGTTACCAACTTCTGTTCAGCAGAAGTCAGAATAAATGACTCTAATATTTCGAAATATAATGCTGTGTTAACTGTGGACTTCAGAAAACACAATGGACCAACACTTTTACATGACTTGGCAACTGAAATCTTCTGACTGTTTCATATTGAGCTTCAGGTAGCCTGAATGCTTTTCTACTCCAGCAGAAAAGCAGGTAAAATGTGAATTCCACTTGAATTGATAAGAAGAGAACGTTGGACCAACGAGCAGCTTCCCTGTTCTTTTTCTCCCTAGCCCAGGTCAGACACTTATAGCCATTGCGTAGGTCTCATCTATGTGTAGTGTTACTTAAAGCACTGACTCCAGCCTCAGTTCACTCATAATGAAGATCTCCCAATTTCTTGAAAGGAATTTGCTTGAGAATCCTCTTAATCCTTTTAATATTTTCCAAAGCTTTATTATTTTTACTTTATGTGTAAACTAAATATAATACAAATGAGTTTCACTTTCTGAAAGCAGCAAGAAATAAAATATTTAACTTTGTCAAAGGGGAAAGTTTCAAGGCCAAACCTTCTCTGTCTGTGCCTCTAGTGAAATATAATCTCCCAACCCACCCACCCGGAATCAAACAGATCAATGCACATTGCTCAGTCATTTTCTGCCCAGGCAAACTTAGACAGCAAGCAGAAAGAAAAGACACCAAATGACTGACGTCTTAAGCATATTTTGAAGAAATTTAAAAAAATAAAAGAGACAAAAGTGTTATTTTTTCCAAAGTGTTCAATCAAAAGACATTAGCAAGTGCAGTGTATAACTTCATGCTTCACACACCTTTATTAGTGTGTTTGTGACTGTATGCAAGAGAGTGTGTGTGCATTTCTGCATTGTCCCAAACATTCTCATCATCATGTCAGAATGCATAAACAACAGACCCCATCCCAAAAAAGGGAATGATTCAATGGTGAAATGAATTCAAAACAACTGGATAATGCAAACCCAAACATTGAAGTCAAACCAATGGAAATAGAAAAAAAAGTAAGAAAAACTTGTCTTAATAGTGATAAAGAGCAACATTCATTCCAGTCTCTTAAAGGCGAGCAGGTTGCGTTTAAGTTTGTGCTTTATAGGTTTAGTCCAAACCTTGCAGGCCACCCTATGTGGGCATTTCTTGCCAAGACCCAGAGGAGGGGAGATAACTCGTAATAAACTGTACATATCCTTATAATGTATGCGCCCGCTGCAAGAAAAATACAAGGAGGGGAGTTAGGTGAGGGAGCATACAGAATCCAAAAGATGGGAAAAAAAGAAACAGAGTGGAAGAAGAAAAAGAAGGAAAACCAAAATGTAGAGAAGATAAGAACTCTAAATTCACTCCAAAAAAAAAACAACAAACCCCAAAAGATAAAAAATAAAACAGAAAAGGGGGTGGGTAACATTTATGCAATTAACATACAACTTTATTTTAGAAGTAAAAAGGAAGGCAGGGAAGCTAAAAAAGTAATGATTTAGCCTGGAAACATTTTTGCTTCGACTGTCTCCACATGACGTTTCATCATCCCAGGTCTGCCATAAGAACATTCTCCCATTTGGGGATGGAAGAAAAATTCAGTGGTAATGAGAGCATTAAAATATTTATGTAATATATGTAAACATTTTGTTGGTATGTTTGCAATTGTAATAGCATGAGTCCTTGCCACTCACCAGGCAGCTGGGTCGTACTCAGCCCATATTCTTACATATTCGTCTAAATGGTGGGGGCCCAGGATAGACGAGTCTCTGGTCAAGTACTCAAAATTGTCCATGATGACAGCCACAAAGAGATTGAGCATCTGGGAGGATGGAAAATAAGATCAATAAAAAAAGATCAAGCAAAACTGAGAAAAATTATTTTCTGGTTTAGGTAAAAAAAAAAGAAAGATAATCCAAATGAAATTATTTCTCACCAGGAAGGAGCAGAGGAAAATAAAGGAGACAAAATAGGTGTAGGCGAATACGCTGCCACACTCCTTCCCTGTGTTTCCTGAGTCTGGGTCACATTTTTTCTCTCCCAGGCACGCCAGCATGATCTCATGCCACGCCTCACCTGTAGCACTCCTGCATTTAGCGATACAGGTAGAGTTTGTAAGCAGCCAAGAAGGTATAAAGTGATCATCCCTTTTATAATATAGATATATGATACGAGTGCATCTTAACAAATTGAACATCAAATAATTTCCATAAACCCCACTTTAAATTATATGTTTGCCACCACAAAAACACAAACAAATAGAAAATATAATCTAATCCAGATATGCCTTACCTGAATAGCAGCATTAGGGCCATAATGAAGGTTCTGAAGTTGTTGTGCTCATCAATGGCACTTTCTTCCTCCTCATCAATAGCTATGTTTCCAAACAACTGGACCATATAATAAGAAAAGAACACAAACAAGATTAATAATACCAAATTAACAGAAATTATGCTCACACTCTGTTTTCATAGGATCAAAGAGAGATAGTACAGATATGTGTTGATAATATGTGTTGGATTGCTTGATCTTAACCAGGTGTGGCGTCCTCAAGAAAAAAACAATCCTTCTTTCAGTTTGACAGACTGCATATGAATGATGCAGAGGCAAATTTGAAAAGCATCAGCAACAATTTCAATACAATTTTCAAACAGTTTGAAGTCCTTTATTCTTTAAAATGAATGATTATTCAAAGGTGGAAAACATGGTAGATATTTGTCCAATCTTTTGAACCATTACACCAGAAGGTCAGGTATTGCAATATTCAGAAAAGAAATACATATATATATTCTATATGTTTTACTACAAACATCAGTGAGCATGTGAAGAAAATTATTTAATGTGGCTTTTTTTCCACCAAAGTTCTTTTGTATCATATAATATAATGAAATACAGAATGCCCTCCCTAGAAAATTAGACAATGTACAGAAGGTATAATTTAATAAAAAACACAAATATACTTTTCATTTTAACACAAGATGCAGGTCAGAAATTATACACTCACTTTTTAATATTGGAAAAAGAAAACATTTTTGTAGACATCACAGTGGCAAAATGCTTTTTACTGTTGCCAAATTTTTTTTTTGATGTTTTTATGGATACTTTTATTCCATTTTTTGTGATCAGCTTCGAAGTCTTTGAGTTTCAAAAGTATCACTATGGTCCTATTCTTGAGCTCCCGCCACAGAACCTTTATGGCATTTAAATCAAAGCCTGGTTGGGCCATCCCAGGTACGAACATTACTCAACACAGAGCAACAGCAGTAAAGTAAAAACGATGTAATACATGCAACACATTATTTAAGAGGAGAAAAAATTGCTCTTTATTGGTGAACTGTTATCATCTTCTACTTTCATTAAAACGGAATTCAGAGATACTACACACATGCAAGGGCTTCCAAATAAGAGGTTCTGTCTATATGACAGCATAGATGCAGTTTTTTTTTTAAGATTAATCCATTTATTTTGGAAATAGTTCTCCAAATTTTAGTAATAAACACTAATACAGGAAACAGTAACTTTCATCTATTAATCCTAAAGATGGCTCTTTTTGCTTTGAATTATGAGGTGTATTAGTGTTTTTAATGCCTGCATTTCAAGTCAGAAAATCTTTTTTTCTCTCTCTCTATTATAACCCTATACTGATTAGTTTTGATATTAAGCAGTTTTTAGTTTGACAGTAAAATGGTCTAAAATATTGGTCCATTACATTTTCAAGAGAGACAACCTGTTCTGTATAATAGAATACCAACAAATCTTACTCAACTATTACTCAAATTACTGCAAACATTTTTTTAAGTAAAATTAGTCATAAAAAAAAAAAAACAACAAAAATTAAGTAAGAAAATAAAAGTATTTTTTTGGACTATGCTATCTGATTTAATGTTAAATGAATTAATGTAAAAACTATGTAAGTAGATGATTTTGTGCAAATATGTATAAATTTGGTCTTAAAAACAAAAACGAAATTTAAAAAAAAAGAGAAAATAAAAACAAAATCTACTTGACTTTGTTTCGACGTTTGAAGACATTTCGCTTCCCATCCAGGAAGCATTCTCAATTCAAAATGTCAGAAATAGCGTTGAGTTTGAGGTTTTATACAGTAGCCCAACAACGCCTTGTTTTTGTTATGAAAATATACAAATTAAAATGAACAAAGGGGTCCACCCCTTTGGAGTGGGGGTAGTTTGGCTTCTTTTCTCAGCCTGCAATGCCCCATACCCGCATAAGTGTCTGAAAGGGGGTCATAAAAGGGAAATATTGACCTGGCTGAATAGACAAGATCTTCCGCTCTCCTGCACAGGGGCAGAGAATGGATTAACTCAATTGCTCTTCTTTTTTTTGGAATGACTATGACCTGGATGACTGTGAATCTTCACCAGCGTAAAAATAAAAATAATACAAAAAAATACAATTAATACAGATGAAAAATAGCAGGCACAAGAAACACTTTTATACAGTAAGTGAAATTTTCAATGTTAAAATTATTAAACCAATTCTTACAGTGGGTCATTTATACAAGTTAAAATATGAAAGACTTCCACTGATAAGATCTTTTGTTTAATGAATTCACTTCTTCTCCAAACACCTCTAAATACTCATGGTGTGTGGAGTAGCCAGAAATGAAACTCAAATAGGAGGTTTGATACTTCCCAACAATATTGATTAAGTAAAAGTTAAAACCATGGTACTCAAACTAGCCCTTTTCCATCCCAAAGGCTACTAAAGTAAATGTAAATACTTTATGGGTATGGGAAGATTTAACATTATTCCTGTTTCAACAGGAGAGTTTAACAGTCATCAGGCCTGCTAGCAAGACCCTACCCTGAAGTATTCCCTCCCCCAGTTTAAAACCGTTAAAGTATGTTGATTTTCTGGCCATAGGTAACTTGTCTTGAAAACATCTATTCTTTTTATCTATTTATAAAGACCATGTCGTGTATAAATAAATGTGTTCTCAGGTTGTGAAACCATAGAAATATGATGAAAAAAAATCGTTTTTCTCCACCCTGAGATGCTGGGTGCATGCCAGCCAGAGCCGTGGAAACCACTGCCACGTGTTGTTCTATTTTACTGCAACAGTTTTAAAGAAAAAAAATCTGCTAAATATTCTAGAAACATTCTTATTATTAACGGAGGGGGCGTCAGTGGAAGCTTTGCACATATGTGACTCGTGTTCAATGGGGAAACAGAGAGAGTTGCTCTGCTTGCAAACACAGGCTGCAGCTGCTGCGTCTGAGTCTCTGTGCTTTGGTGAAGGGAGGGGCTTGCTCACTAACGGTTCATTGAAGACAATGCAATAATCAGAGAGATTGTTGCATTTGTTGCATCGAACAAAACTGTAAAAAGTAGCTTGATTTGTCACCAATCACTACAGGGGTCTGAAAAGTCGTTAAATATAGAAAAAAAAGTTTCTGAGTTGTTAACAATGCAGTGGCAGCATCGCTGTTAGCTTCCATACTGCTGGGCCAGCAGGAGGTGGGCCTATGCTGAAGTCAGCTGCATAGCACACTTTAAGAAAACAACCAAAAAATGCTGAAACACAAGAATATTGAAACCAAAATGTACTCCTAGTGCCACAAAGATTGGGAGACTTTTTACACATATAGTCATTTATGTGTTTAGGGCCCTGTCACACCTTACCGATTTAGCCAGCATATATGCCTGACGTCCCAGAATCTTCTAAAACGCTAGCATTCGCTGAACTTTCTATGCATTTTTTAAATTTTGTTCCTATGCATAGTGTATTTTTAACGAGTCCAGAGCGTATGTCCAATGACAGCCTGGCTTATGCATAACACGTGGCAGCACAATGCCCATGAAATGAGTGTTCAGTATGTCCTGAGGGGGACAGCGACGTGGGCATAAACGCAGAGAGGATCCATCACACTTATCTTCTCGCAAACTATACGATGTGGATGCAGTCTGGAGGAGAAGCTCCAGATACGTTGACATGCGATAAGTTCGATAAGTTCTTGATAAGTTATATATAAGTTATGCACAAGTTACTCTTACATTTTGGATAAGCTAGATGCCACGACTTATAAGTAACTTATGTCAACGATCAGATAACGTACCTGTAACTTATGGCATACGCTTGCATATGGTTTCAGCATATTTAAGCATAATTTAGCGTGTTTATAACTTATATAAAACTTACCCATAACTTATCCAATATATGACAGCGTTTTTGCCAGATTTTTTGTACGTCAGGTATAGGTTGTCTAAATCGTCAAGGCGTAAATGGGCCATTAGAAGAAAACTGGGGAATTATCTTTTCTGTTTGAGGGACTAATGATTTATTTAGTTATCTGAGATCCTAGAATGTTTCAAAGACAATCTTCAAAAAAGAAAAAAAAACACTGTAAAAGAGAGTTTAAACTACCTCAACAGCAGGTAATAGTGTTTCATTCCAGAACATGGTGGGGCAGAAAATAGAAATGCATGATATTCACCAAACCTTTTCGAACAGCAGTACTGACCTGCATGCCGATGATTGCGTAGATGAAGAACAGCATGGCAATGAGTAGACACACATATGGCAGAGCCTACAAAAACAGGGAAAGAAAATATTGGTCATTCTCATGAGGAATGTTTTGTGGCCATGTGTCCTTTATTTATTCATGCCTAAATACCTTAAAGGACTGGACAAATGTCCATAATAAGATCCGGATTGTTTCCCCCTGTCTCAGGAGCTTAATGAGGCGAGCTGCTCTAAAAAGCCTCAGGAAGCTCAAGTTGATGAAATTATTCTGTAGCACAAACATGGCAAATTGTCAGTTTTACCAAGCAACAATAGCTTTATAGTTATTATCTACAACAATGGAAGAACAAAAGCATAATTAAAAATAATAATGAAGGAGAGAGAAGAACAAAAAAAGTCAAAACCCATAAAATGTATTTAATCTCAAACATACAAGTACCTAGATATAAGTGAAAATAACAGAGAGAGAGAAAACAAAAAAAACAAAACAGAAATAAGTGGGAAAGAAAGGTGGTTTCTAATTTAAAGAGTTTCAAGGTCATTATCCAATCTTATACTGTATTTTTTTTAAATCAAATGCACTGATCGCTGATGCAAGCAGGCCACATACAGACTGGAACACAGAAAACTTTGCCTGTCAACCACATGCATGTGAACACACACTCCTATACACACACTCACATGTATATATGAAAGTGTGTATAAAAACAAATGATTTTTATAGATATATTAATATTGAATTTTTAAAAATTCATTTATTAATCAAATAGGGAACAAAAAAAACCTTTTTTTTAAAAAACAAAAAAACAAAGCAGTTGAATCTAAAACTATGACTTGAGGACTTCTGGATTGAGGAAAATTACAGACAATCGTCTCCTTCCTCAACAGAAAACAATAAAATAATTTGTGCAGCTTTGACTTGGTGATTACTATGAGTTGGTTGTATTTAATTGCCAAATTAGTTCACATTTATCTTTAAGAGTTGATTAACCAAGATTTATCCGATAGATTATTTCAGCCCTAGGACAAAAACAATCAAATACCATATGAGTAATTCTAAAGCAAAGACCTTAAAGGCACGCTATGCAACATTTTTCAGTTAATTAATGTGTTCCATAACGTTTTGGATGCTTAAATGAGGCATTTCAGGTTGAACAAAGGTATTCTCGGCCGCCCTGGTGGTCTGTGGGGGAAATACTGCACTTGCAATTGCAGGAGCCCTCGGCCCGCACCCACAGGCTCAGAAGTCTCGCGAGAGTCGGTCTTGCTTTACGGCGAGAACTGCTACACGGCCCCAGTTAAAAGCATGCTCGTTGCTAGCACAGTGGCGATCTTTGTGTAGTTATCATGGCGGAACCAGCGTTAAAACAGCAAAAGCCCATGTCGGAGCAGGCAAGAAAGAGGAAAAGGGCTCCGGACAGAGAGAGGAGTCGTACACAGGTGAACATCGGGCAAGCTTTTTCCGAATGGCGAGAGCTAAAATAAAAAGAAGGCTGCAAGGCTAATGCGGACCTCGCGTTTCTGCTGATGCGATTGTAAGTAACATTGGAATGGTTTCCCTCTCTCTGTGTGCATGTTCATACTTTCACTGTGTTAGTCATTCGTTGCGTTCGCCTGTCTGCTAAGCTCAAAACAACCGCGCCTGGCTTGACGGAGAAACCAGGAGAACAGCTGTGCATATTCACGACAGTGCACTTTTACTTTCGCCCTCTGGGGAGAGCCTCGCTGGAAAATCAACACCGGTTGCATAGTATACCTTTAATTATTAATCTGGAAAGTATATGTTTTTTTTATTTTTATAGATCAGAATACAAGGAGTTATTTTCAGAATTATTACAGCATATATAGTAAGACAAACGACAATTTATCTTGTACAAACATATGCCATATGATAATATGTTAATTGCTCATAAGTGAGTTATAGTCTCTCTTGCAAAATAAATAATGAAGACATTCACATTTTTCTTAGGGTTTACAAACATCTGTCATATAACCTGGAGGATTTTACTGCTTTAAGATATTTTTAGATATGGACAGAGAAACAGGTCTTTAATGTATTTAACTTCATAATAAATGTTTTAGCATTATGATATTTATCTAAAGTTAGATTGAACCAGTATCAATTGATATTAGAAGGTCAGATTTTCACAACATTAGAGACTGATAATTAGAGATGTGAATGATTCGATACTTGGTTTGGATATCAGCTCCGATTTTGACTTATTAGCTGGATCTTTATTGGATGAATGACACAGATCAAGCAGCTAGTGATTATTTTTATCTGTGTTAATTTGTTAGTTTTTTTTTTAACAATGCTTATGTCAAGGTATATGGTTCATTTATTCAACGGCAGTATCAGATCGGTATCAGATCTTGGCCAATGCACTCAGCCTACAGTATGAATAATAAACTATAATATACTAAACACCCAAACTTTCAATGAGGGTTTTTGCATTTTGATGGTTGACAGACAAGGCTGTAAAACCAGCATGGGGAGGAAAAGAGGGAGGGGAAGATGGAGGGATTAGCATGCAGCCCAAGGGCAAACATTACATAGCATGGCAGCATACTTCTTGATAGCTGCTCTACATGCAGGCCAGTGAAGGCCAATGGGGCTGAGCCCATTGGAACCTTAAAGCATGCGCCATTAGGTGCAATATGTCAGCTTATACGTCACAAAGAGATAAACAATGTCTGGTAGGATTTGATTACTAAAATATACCTTCAGTATGCATAGAATCCTCTACTCAATTTGACTTCCTGCTTGTATTTTTCTATTTTTATATCAAAAGATTGAAATGACTGAATTATCAAATTAAATCAGATAAGCAACAAAGTCCTTGGTAGGTGGATGTATTTTATTAGATATGTTTTAAGCTTTAAACTTCAGAAAATTTTTGCAGGACCCAGAGAGATTTAGTATTTGTGCAATTATCCCCTGAATGAGATAGGATGCATCTTTGTCTTAGTTAATTGCCCTGTTAATGTGTCAGTGCCCTGGATAACATGGAGCCTGGTGGGCAGAGTCTTAATTAAGGAAGGAAGAATTTATTTTAAGTCAAAATGTATGTTATGGTTTCTTTCTGTTAACTCCAAACATTACGATTTCAAAACACAACTTTCTATTTTCACCATCTTTATAGACAGAGTAGATTCCTCAGTCAGGGTGATATTTTAAGGTTTCAGTTTTTAGACTGTTGTATTCCTTATGTACTGAGCTAGCCCTCCATCACACACCAGGAATGTGCATCATATAGATGTGAATACAATGCATGCAGCGCTGTTTGCTGCAAATTTGTTTTTTTTGTCTACATTTCTGCATGATAAGTCTATTATACTTCATTTCACAAACCTTTTACAACACTAACTACTAAGAAGGAGTGACTACCTCTCTGTTAATTTTTTTTTTTTTTTTACATAAACAGAATCCCAGATAAATCTCAAATAACAAACAGCGCCAGGAACATTAAAGGTGTAGATAAGTTCTGTGGATACAGGTTAAGGGTAGCATTATGCTATAATTGTCTTTTCAGGTTCAAATACTTTTGACAGACATAGATTAACATTTTTTAATAGTATTTGTATCTGTAGCGGTTTCAGCAGATGCCCTTTGGGAAACATTGCTTTTATTTTGTATGTAATCAGTGATAATAATATTATTACTTGAAACAAGAACAACCAAACCCATTATTACCACTGTAATATTATTTTACACTTTTTTACATTTTATATTACATTGTAATTACTTTACATTCATAGCATTAGGTATTTTAAGCGCGCTACCTAGACGTTTGTATATCTCCAACATGGTCTTTTTCAGGTGCTAAGATCTACCTTTAAACTGCTATCAGCTTGAATGTTTGTTATTTAAGATGTCAGATGTAACCTTAGAATCTAATGGAATAAAAATGGCTATAACAAATTTTTGTTCCCCTCTAAGGTCATTTAGACCTTATCAATAGTTTATTTGTAGGCAAAGTTAAGAGGACTCATCTAAGAAGCACATGCACTGGGGGTAAAGGTCAATGCATGAGAGATCAGGTGGATGGGATAAGAAATGAATCAGGGAACTGCATGGCCAATGAGAGTGCAGGAGGAAGCTTTGAGAAATAAATTACAAACCAACCAGATTCTACATGTGCGAAGATGTAGACAGATGAATGGTGAGGAAGATTATTTTTAGTTCGTTTTTTTTTTTTTTTTGGTTAAATCGTGAGTGGGTTAAACATATTTTTCAGAAGAAGGAGGTGGTGGTTGGTTGTGTGTTTTATTGGGCAGAGCCATGGGGGCGAAACACACACCATCACCATCATCATCATCACAGCACCACCACATGTCATGGCGCAGCATGGATGGACAACACGATGAAGGATTTCATAGTGCATTTTGATTGGATGGATTATATCAGAAGAGGAGGGAGTAGAAGAGGCGAAGGGTGCCAACAGAGTAGAAAAGGTTTAAAGAAAGCATGTAAAGAGATAGAAGAGGAAGACGGCATCATTATAGGCACCAATGTAAAGGTACTGAAAAACAACAGCAGCCAAAAACAGCAGTAAGGTTGTAGTAAAATAAAATCAGCTTCTCTCTGTTGCCAAACCCACCCAACAATCACAGTGTAATCACTGATAAAGTCTTTAAAGATAAAGATATAGGTAAAAGAATAGATGATATCTTGGCTAGGTTTTCCAGATTTTATTAACCTGGTGATAAAATGAAAGCGATCTCAAAGGAATGGAAACATGAAACTGCTTGATACAAACTTTTTGGTGCAATTCTATTTGTGACTCACTTTAATGTTAAATTACTATTTTAGACTGTGCTGCTTAGGAATGGGAAAGTTATCTAAAGTAACATATACAAAGAGTTTAAAAAGTTATCATTTATGAACTACTAGTTTTGTGTCACCTGGTCTCACAGATCAAAGTTCTAATTGGATGCCAAAGAAAGTGCCAGAGGGATTGTAGATTTTTCTCGCCGGTTATACCATGCATTAAAAAAGCAATTCATGTGTTTCATTTCATCTTAAAAATAGAAGGTGATTAAAAACAAAATAATGAACAGCTATTATAGACAACATTATTATAACTGTAATAGCAAATTTTACAGCAGCATGGCAGCAAGTATTGCTGCTTTACCATTTGAAAAAAACGTATTAGTTCATGTAAATTCATGGTATAAATTTAACTTATCAAAAGTATCTCTTTTGCGTCAATTATTATGGTCATTGATGCATTTTAGTTTATTTAAATAGCGCCAATTCACAACTCGTGTCTTTTTAAGGCACTTGAACAGAGTGATTAAAAAGGCTTTTATTTATTTTTTCTAAAGAAAAGCATCATGCATGGATCATATATCCAGTCATTTATTTGTACTGCAGCATCAAATCCCCCTGGATGAGCGTTTGGTGACAGTCGTTACATTGGGTACATTGCAGCAAGCCCTTATACCTTGCATCCATGTAGCAACAGTGGAGATAAAATATTAGAAAAAAACTAAATAAACATTGCAAAATAAACCTTATTTTGATCCAGTATTATTAATGCTATGATAATCTCACACCAACTGGTACTTATGACTGTTTCTGGTGTTTTCCTCACCTAGTATTTAAGAATTTGGAAGATATCATTCAACGAAAAAAAGTATATAAAGTTACCTGTTATATGTAGATACAGCACCAGTAATGTTTTTCTTAACCTTTAAAAGATTCATGGTTTTGTTATAAATTGTTTCATAAACAGAACTACACAGAAAAAATCCAAAAACTAAAATCCCCACAAAAAGATTCAAAGTGGACATTTAGAAGAACCTATCTTTGTCTAAAACCTAAGTCCTATTTTTTGACCTTAAGTGAAAATCGTGGCAGGAGTGCACAGCAGAGAGAGGCTGAAATACCCTATTAACTATTTGGTTATCAAATCATATAGTCTCAAATGTTTAAAGACCAACATAAAAAAAATAAAAGCACACAACAGTGACACCCCAGTATACAAAAAGATTAACCTGAGATCAATAATAGTGATTCAAAATACTGAGCTTCTTGCATTCAGACTTGCAACTTGAGCTCAGCAAGCAGTTCCTTCAATCACAGTAACGCCGTTTACCTTGACATTAACTTTCTAGGCGGCTTCAAACCCATTAATGTTTAATGTTGGTCCAGCACTAGCATTACATTTATATGGGTTTTAGAGGTGGCTGGTCATTTCACCCGTTTGCCATTCATAAGCTAGCAACTTTGGTTGCTTTGTACTAGAAAAAATCTAGAATCCACTTTTTCGGGAAGGAAATTTAGTTGTTTCCAGGAGTTTCCCCCCGGTACAGTAATATTTTAAATTTGTACCCACTTTGACAAATGATGATTCAGTGTAACTTTTTATATTCTACCTTTAATTCCCTGTGAGGAATTAAGGTTTTACTACGCAACGGATTCATTTGGTTGGATCAGAGGTCAGAATCATAAGAGCAAACTATTCCAAATGGGGATCTAAAACAAAACCCAAACAAAATACATGTGAGATCTAAACTTGTTTTCTAATAATTTAGCCCATAATTGTTCAAAGTAGACAACTAGACCAAAAAGTATATAAAAATGCTGAGTAAAATTATATGCAATAGATCGGGGTTACATAGTAGTCATTATGCTAATACTAATTAATGGTGAAAAGGTGAAAGGACCTGGAGCCAACCTGCAAGAAAACTAGCTCTTTTCATTCACACACACATACATACATACATACATATATATATATATATATATATATATATATATATATATATATGTGTGTGTGTGTGTGTGTGTGTGTGTGTATAAATGTCTTTTTGGAGAAGATCCGAGCACAACACTTACCCAAAACTCTGTTACCAATATATCAGTAATGCTTCCAATGACTGAGACAAAATCAAAAACGTTCCAGGCATCTCTGAAGTAATTCTGAAAGAGAGAGAAGTGTGAAGGTGCCCAATGACGAGACAAGTTAAACAGTGCTAGACAATGATATCACAGTAACACCGTGATGAACTGTAGGGGAGCATGACTGCAGAACACAAGCTCTGGGTTTGTCAGGGACAGGAAAAAAATTCATTGCGTAGTACTTACCAAAGGACCAAAAGCAATGATTTTCAGTATAGATTCCATAAAGAAAAAGGTGGTGAACACAATGTTTAGATACTTTAGCACATTATCGTAACTTTGTGATGCACCTTGAAACTGTTGACATAAAAAGACAGAAAAGAAAAGAGGGAAGGTTTTAAAAAAAATAAGTTTGTGTTTTAGTATAAGCTTACATAACTGTTATGTTCCATACCTTCATCATTAGGACTATTGTGTTGAGTGCAATCAGAGCCATGATGCTGTACTCGAAGGGAGGGGACACAACAAAATGCCACATGCGATACTGGAAGCTCAGTTTGTTCTTTGGCATGTGGCGAGTCAGAGGTCTGGCATTAATAGCAAAATCTATACAGGCTCTCTGGAGAAGGATTTAAAAAATAAATATCAGAATAAACATATATTTTTCCAGTGGCTGCATAAAATTTTCCAGGTACTGTAGTCCCTTACTTCGTTTTTTTCTAAGCTGTAGTCCTCCATCATCTTATCCCCTTGTTCCTGGAAGGTGATGATGATGAGAGCCACAAAGATGTTTACAAAGAAGAAAGGGAAGACAACGAAGTACACCACGTAAAAGATGGACGTTTCCATCCTGTATCCCGGGCTTGGGCCCTGATCCTCATAAGTGGAGTCCACTGAGTGCTTTAGCACCCTGTGGGTGAAAGAAAAAAAAAAAGATATTGATTAGGAAAACTATACAGTAAGCATGCATTAAATCCAACACTGGAGAGAACATGAGCAGTGTTAGTCAGTAGGCAGCGCTAACACTTATCCTAGCTCACACCACAGTGAGCTCTCTTTAACCCTATCAGGGATATTACAAAAGGAATGAGGGATATGGAGGCTGGAGTTTCTAACTCAGTGTGGTTAATAAATTTCAACACATTGTTAAAGTTATTTCTGCACTTTCTATTGAAAAATATTGACCTCAGAGTCAAAAAAACTAACAGGAAGACGCAGTCTTGTCTTGTACGATGTGAAGCAGCCAATAAGATCTCATGGTTTCGGTCCTAATCCCTCCCACTGAGTTTGATGGGTGATGTTAACAGTTTAAATACTCTCATGATAAGTCAGCTGTGCAGACATTATGAAATAAATAAACACAGATGAAAATAACGGAGTATGTATTCAACTATGTATCTAACAAAAATAATAATTAATAATTTAAAAAGGTATATATGATTTTCTTTATGTTATTGCATCATGATGTATTAAACAAACAAATAAATGGTACATTGCTTTTTGCAATAGGAAATTTATTTATTTATTTTCACTTTTCATTATTTTATTTTTTTAATTATTTATTTCATGGCACATTTAAATGTACATGTAGTTATTTAATAATGTTTAAATTAAACCTTTAGTTATTAAATGTAATATTAAATTTTAAATTTACTGATGTAATGGTGATTTACATTCATCTACTCATTCAACAATTATCTAAGAAGGATCTTCTTCTTTATATTAAAGTATTTATGGTGTAAACGTATTCTATGGTAAGTGTGCGCCGTCCACTTACTGTGGCCACCCCTCTCCGGTGGAGACGGTGAAGAGGGTGAGCAAGGCCCAAGCCACGTTGTCGTAGTGAAAATCGTACTTCTTCCATTCCCGCTTCTCAGCTTTTACCTCTTCTTTTTCATAGACTAAATATTCGCCCCTTTAAGTTAAAAAGGAACAAATTCAACCAAACTTTACATTTTTCTTAAAATATTACCCAGTGACTCTTAGTGGTATCATAAAACAAAAACTGAAATGCGGACAGACAACTTCATGCTTCTGAATTCTACTAGCCTGTATGTCTGCAAAAGTCATAAAATTACTCCAATGTGAAATGAAACACTAAAAGATTTTGGTTATAAAGTTTTTATATAAAAAAAATTGTATGCACTACCTTGACAAAGAATAAATGTATATTCTATTTGTAATTTTTTTTAACCGACCTGCAGTCCCGTGCAAACTCTTTGGATTCATCTGTGCAGTAGAAGAAGCGGCCCTTAAACAGCTGCACAGCCACGACAGCGAAGATGAACATGAAGAGCATGTAGACAATCAAGATATTCAACACATTCTTCAAGGAGTTCACCACACAGTCAAAAACTGCCTGCAAAGTGAAAAACAGAAAAGTTTGAATGTTAGGGTGGTTAGTAAAAAAAAAAAAAAAGTTCTTATACTCAAGTTTTTTTAATCAAGACACTAAATAAGCTTGTTAAGTCTAAGTGGGGACCTTAGTTCTCTTTTGGCCATGATTATCACACTACTGTAATTTCATGTCTAAAAGATTTGGTAAACAAACAAAAAAAGCATAAAAAATTATAAACTTATACATATAGACATTTCTTGGTTATGGGGTTTTTCCTTTTGAAATTATGAGCACACCACCCTTATACTATTGGCAACAAAATTATATTTTTCACTAAAGTGTTTATTTGTCTCAGCTTGCACACATCTTGCCAGGATTGCTGTGTTTTTGTGCATCAATGCTGAAGCACAAAGGGGGATGGCAGCCTAGTGGTTAGGGCACAGAGCTTGGAATCCAGAAGTTTTGAGTTCCAGCCCCAATGCCACAGACTGCCACTCACTGAGCAAAGACCCTTAACCCCAAACTGCTCCCTGGGCGCCGCACAATGATAGCCCACTGCTCCACAAAGGGAATGGGTTAAATACAGAGAGCTCATTTTGTGGCTCTGTGCTTGTGACAGTGTAATGATCATAAACGGCTGTAAAAGGGGAAAAAAAAAAGAGGCACAACAAGCTGTTTTTTTCTCCTTTGGTATCTAACAGCAGTTTGCTGTGTAAAGGAATTAATGCTATATATTTAATATATATATATAATAAAGTTACAGTTTAAAACATACAATTCTCCATCTTACTGCACCATTTTAAAGCAGGCATAGGAACATTTATAGGCTCATAAAATACAAATAAATTGAAATTATGAAACAGCTGTTTGTGTCATCTGGACTAATGTAAGGGTATGTAGCAACTATAAAGATATGACAAAAAACTCCCTGCAATGCAATACATTTGGAGCTTTAAGGACTATTTTTTTAAACTAAAAAAAATTCAAACTACTTCACATTCAGACCCCATAAATAAATAAAATAAAAAATCAGCACAGCCTACCTTTAACTTTGGGAGACGCTTGATGGTTTTAAGTGGACGCAGCACCCTCAGCACACGCAGGGATTTGATTGTACTGATGTCTTTGCCTTTGCTGCTCCCCCTAGTGTTTCAGCAGGAAACATAAACAACATAACTTAAAAGTTAGACTGCAGAATAGATGCTTCATAACAGACTAGTCACAAGGACTCCCATCCTACCCTATTGGTTTAATTTAAAATAAGAAATTGCGAAATGCCTTTAAAAAAAGTGCATTGATTGTTTTTTTTTTTTTTTGCAGACAAATAAAAAAGTCAAACATGAAACCGACGAGAGAGCACATTCAATCCCTTGTCTGAGGTCTTGGTTTCATGGACACTACGAAGCACCATCATTGTTAGATATGACGATCATCAAAAATATACAGTCACGTATTGCATAACTACAGGCATCTCCGCGGTGGAGTGCCCGGCCAAACCTCTTTCTTTCTTTATCAGTGAGATGCTGTTCAACTCTTCAAAGGAAGGGAACATTTTAGATATGAAATGATGAAGTTCAAATGTTTAACCTCTAGGATTACTTTGGAATAATCCCAAAAGTATCTTTACATAGATGTAGTATGTAAAAAAAAGTTTCTTCTCACATAGCTCTCTTTAATTGCTTTAAAAATAATTATAAAAAAGATCCTGCTCATTATTGTTCTTTTGCACTGGAAAAAATCGAAATCTAGATAAGTCATTTTTTCTTTAAATAAGTGCTTTTGTTCTTGAATTGAGGAGGTAAAAGAGACATTTTGCCAATGGAACAAGACAATTAAGATTTAAAATAAGAAAACACAATTTCATTGTTTTATTTCAAGTGCATATTATCTAATTGTCTTATTATAAGAGTAAAAATACTCATTCCTTTGGCAAACTATCTAATTTACCTACTTAAAGTAAGGATAAATGCACTTAATTTAAGAAATTCTTACTTATTTCTAGATTGTTTTTGTAGTGTGTAAAAAGGATAACTTAAAAAGTTTCAAAGGCTAGAGCTGGAGGCTATGCGGGGAATATTTGGGCCTGTGATGCTGCACACAGAAGACAACATCTCATGTTGTAAAAAAAAAAAAAGAATCATAAGGAGCAGAAAGGGATAATTTAAAGACAAGCCTTTTTGCTCATACCAAGACAATAACGTTTTGTGCATGGTCCAAATTCCTGAAAGGAAAATGCCAATAAGGCAATAAATAGAACACCTGATTTTTACAGTAAGTGGCTCGGCCATTCTGAAGAAATACAAAGAAAGACTGAAGTGGACGCTTGCCAAGTCAGCGCAGGAGACAGGCCGTCTATCAAGGTTGGCACTTAAACTATGAACTCAGTTCCTGTGACTGAAAATGAATGACAGCTTAATTTAGTGCTGATTGATTGAGTTGGAGTCTTTCAGCTTTAAGTCTCGCTGTGTAGGTGTTGTGTGCTCGCCATGGAGAGAATCAATAGGCCTTCCTCATTTAAATGTGTGCAGAACAGAAGTCTCTCTATGAAAACAGCTTTACAGAATTAAAGTAAAGCCCTGTAAGGTCAAAGGTGTAGGAAATGGCTGCATCCTTGTGGCCTCAAATACAGTAGTTATGTTCGCCTGATAAAGCTGTGATTGTAGCAATAGGATTCTTTGTTTAGATTACTGTATAAAATGATTTTGTATTTTAATCTTAAAACTATTATGCTGCAAAAATCATTTGAATGACAAATGCAATCTGTTCCCAAAATCTGGGTTTTGAGGGTTTAGCATCCAAGATCTGCCTAGCGGAGTGGTAACTAGCTAAAAATTACGCACACTTTTAATGTGAATGGATGGATTGAAAATGCTTATTAGATGAATTGCTTGAAAACCTTTAAACACTTTCATGCACTTCATGTTTAGTGGATTTGCAGCCAATATTTCTTATAAATGTATCGTTATTGCATCCAAATAAATAGGACAGCTCAGTTCATACCTCTGTATCTCTTTTAATATTATAGTAGCTGGTTATGAAGTTTGTTGCATCAGTATTTGAAAGGACATGACTCATGTCATGTTCACATGTCTGTAAATGTTGACAAAATTTGTCAATCAGAGTTTTTTTTAGGGCTCAATTTTCGTTTAGAAGTTATAACCTTCATGGAAGTACTAAAATAAGTTAAATTGGCCCTAAAAGAAGAATTATTTTCAGGATACAACTAAAAACTATTGATATTGGTTCCTTGGTTTAACTGAAGTCATTTGGAACCTGTAGTGGAAGATTAGCTCCAAATCATCACATTTACACCACCATGTTACCACTGGTATGTTCTTCTGTGTAATAAAGCTTATGTTTGAAACTACATTTTGAATCCATTTAATATTGTTGCCAAACCTTTGAATTTCTTTATCCAAGGGCAGAATATTTTGCAAGTTTCCGACTGAATTAGAAAAAGCCATTAAATAATTGTATATAAAACTAATATGAACTTTTACGTCTGATCTCTGCCTCTTACTTTTGATTATTTTCCCCTTTTCTCTTAGCAGCCGTTTGTCCTCTTCGCCAAACCCATGAAACTACCTGAGAGGTTCGGATAACTTATTGTGAAATATATCTGTTTGGGAAAAGCTACTGCTTTTGAGGTCCTTTTTCTAAAATTTCTTTGACTTTTTATGTTAATTATTAACAGTACAATGGTGTGGAAATATTTTTATACATGTTAGCATGGTATGGTTTTGATGTGTAAGGCAAAATTATGAAATCATTATTGGTAAATTCTGGTGTTTTCCTAGAACCTTCCGAGTTGTCTCAAAAAACAAAAACAAAACAGAGAATCAAACTGTTGATTTGAGAGTGTGCGCACAGTGATACACTGAGAAGGAGCACAAATGACAAGAAGCACAAAGAAAGAAAGAGACAGTAGCCAATGTGATTTCGGTAATTTTACACGGGGAGCAGAGGACAGAGGAGGAACTTTACCGGGTGCTGCTCCTGTCGGGTTTCACCGGAGGTGGTGACAGCGAAAGTCAAGGTGACAGCGACAGAGAGAAAGACGGAGGAACAAGAGGATAGAGAAAAACACATGGAAAGACACAAACACAGAACACACACATTGATAGAGACAGACCAACAAAAGACAAAAGAGAGAAAGAGAAGGGGGTTTGGTAGAAACACAAAATATACATCTATAAGAGAGACAGACAAAGAAGGAAGGACAGCAAGATGACTATATCTAATTAAATATACCTCAGCTACCTTTTAACAAACATGTTTTTTCCCATAATGCCTCTCGTGTAATATCCTGTCTTCCTAATAGCTAACCTGATTTAAATACACGTAACCTGTTTGTCTAAAACAGTAAAGGTGCATCTTTCATGACCAAAGCCCTCTTATTCATTACATCTAAGAGGCTTTTAAAATAGCTTTTTAACAAATCACTTTGACCTAACTTTCTTTGAGCTAATGACGCCCTAATGTCTTGATAAAATCAGAGGAATAACAGCGATGAGATCATAATTAAGGTCAAAGGTCACTGCTTTATATATCACACAGGTGCATCTCTATAAATTAATACATCATCCAAAAGTACTTTCATTTCAATATTTTTAATCAGAAAATTGAAATTCATTGCTTTGTAACATACTTGGAAATTATCCGTACCAAGTGTCTATTTCTGGTCAGTTTGATGACTATGGCTTGCAACTAAAAAAAACCCTGATTCTTTAATTTAGTTTTTTATTTTTAGAAAATTGAAGTACTAATTTTGACTTATAAAAGAGTTTAATTTGCTTCAGGTAAAAATTTGTGGTGCCACACAGCAAAGAAAAAAAGTAATTTTTTTCTTAAAATAAGTGCATTTTTTCTTGAATTAAGCAGGTTAGTGAGACACTTTGCCAATAAAACAAGATAATCTAGATTTAAAATAAAAAACAACGACAGCATCTTATTTCAAGTGCTTTTTTTCTAATTATCTTATTGAAAGAGTAAAAATACTCTTTCCATTGGCAAACCATCTTATTTACCTACTTAAATTAAGGGTCAGTACACTTAATTTAAGAATTTGTACATATTTCTAGATCATTTCTGGAGTGTATATCTTCAGAGGTGGTAATTAGTTCCAACAATGTCATGAGGATGTCAAGTGGACATAATCAGAGGACATTGTCACTCAAAGAACCTCAGACTGTTCAAATAATAATATTTCCCCTACATATGTGTTTAAAACCTTCCATACATTATGTGGAAAATGGATGTAAAAAAGGTGCCTTTCTCTTTGCTTGAATCTGTTATTTTATAATGAAGCGATTCATTTTTACTAACTTTTGGTGTAATTATTCCAAATATCAAAAATAATATCATGCACAGAATTTTATATTTTTTGCTGTAGCATTAAATTATTGTATGATTAAAATGTTCTACTCAAGTAATCAATACCTAAGTAGTTTTAATCTCAATAAGATTGAATAACCAGCAAACTCAACAAAATGATCACAGACAAGCGGAAGGGGCCACCACCAACATGAAGCACATGGATATTCTTCACAATAGACTGTATTTTTTTATTTGGTTTATGTGGGTATTCCGCTGGGTGCAAGCCATAATCATTCTACATTCACAGAAAACATCACATCTCTAATTTATTGAGAGACACCTGTTTTACAACTAATTAATTATTGAAAAAGCCAATGTACAGCCAATTGTACCTCAAACCAATTATTGGCAGCATTTTTTGTCAAAAAAAATATTGTAAAATATCCGAGGTGATCATACGTGTAGAGATATACTATTGCTTAAATATTTGAATCTTAGACTTAAACAACTTTTATTGTCATTTTTATACACAGAGTGTATACAAAACGAAATTTCGTGTGGGAGAAACAATCATGGTGCAAAAAAACGCATTGATATGGAAGTTCAGAGCATCAATCTACTGGTTTAGACTATAGTAATACCCATAGTTTTCTGTTAAAACCAAGAATTGTATTCTATAAATACTGTACTTTCCAGGATCCACAAATAAAACAAATAACAATTGTTTGAATATAGCTTCTGAGAGTCTAGAATTACATGTTTCTTTCAGTAGACATGTTTTCCTCTGGCCCACTATAAGCCTTGTAAACTGGAACTAAAATATTGCATTCATGTTCTTCCTTTCCTCCTTGAATAACGCTATAATGACCAATTAGAACAGACCTTCAGCACTAATTGTCCTCATTATACCAGTAGCACCTGGAGGGGTTTGCAAAAATATTCCTCAGCATGCACAACTGTACAGAAATATATATATATACATATATTTTACTTTAAGTCTTTACAAGAGATCATTTCCAGGTTTGCTTGACCTAAGAGTGCATTCGCTCATCTATCATGAGCGGAGATTCAAGAAACCAGGATTTGTGTGTATTGTATCGTACACACATGCTATCAATAGCAGTAAAAGGCATTCTCACAGAGTATTCTCACTACATGCACTTTAAAGTCATATGACTTTGAAACATTCAGCATTTGTTTGGAGAATGCCAAAAGCAGTATAATTGTGTTTGTAACACACATACACACAGATATGAAGCCATTGTACGGTTTCCATGCTAAATATAATCTGTACAACGCTTCTTCCGGTTATCTGGTTAAATATAACTTCATGCTTCACAGGGAAATTGCAGGTGTGTGAAGCCTGTTTGAGCAGCACTGTACTCTAGTGTAGCAGATGATAAGAGGCAAAGCTTTAAAAAAAGAGGCAGAGGTGGAAGAGTAGCAGTGTAAGAATAAATACGCTATCAGGGCAGGGGGAGAGGAAAACCAAAAAAAAATGGTGGTAGGAAAAGGTAAAAGCAACAGATAAAGAAAGGAGGAGATGTCCTGCAGAGGGAAGTCATGCTGTGCAGGGTGGAGCAGTGGAGTGATTTTTATACTGCTACAACAAACCTGTCTGCTAGGGGGCACTGTAGACTAATAAGTCATATTGTGATGCTTCTTTTTATCCTTTTTATCCTGAATTAATCTGCATCAGTTTCTGTGTTTCTATTAAATACAGTTTAAAAACTACATATTTCAGGTTATGAAGCAGTAGATCAGTAGGTAACCTCTACTGTAGCTCTCGAAGGCTGATTAATTCAAATGTCTACCATCAGCTTATTTTTTTCAGAACAGAAGAAAATATCTATCAATCATAACTAATATCTTAACTTATTCCATGAATAAAAAACTTCTCTCTGAGTTTGTCTTTAAGGAATAAGTCGTTAAGCATGTGGAGGGATTTGGAGCTTTATTATTGCAATAATGCCAGATTTATATGTCGGCTGTTAAACAAATTATAATTCATTCAAAATGCAGTTGTTCATTTCCAAACATTAAAATAAACTTTCTTCTCTTTTGTTATTTTAAAGAATACATTTTAAGAATTTGCTCAAGCTAATAAAATACTAAAAAGGCATTATGTGCATGTTTTAAAATGACAAATTTTTTTTGTCTTTAAGAATGGATTTGCAACAGTATTTTGGAAGATTTTTTTCCTCCAGGAAAAAGAGAGAAATACTGTATATTCTGCATGGAGAGCTCCAAATAAGACCCAGTGCAGCAGTAATATATAAGAGTAAGCTATTTCAATTTAAACATCTACCACTGCATTTCTGGCACCTCAAGCAATCCAAGTGTCTTTGTGCCATTTATGTATTTTCACTCGGGTCTCAGGCAGTGCTGCTTCCTCTAAAATTGCTTTGCTTTTGATCTGAACTCTTTTTGACAGTATATATAAGTCACGTTTTACCAAAGATATTTTACTTGAGCTTGACTCTATGTGCTGAACATGTGATGCCGTGTACTGCATCGCAGGTTCAGGTTCATGCAGTCACTACTGCAGACATGCATGGATGCACAAGCTCCTCTATCTGGCTCCTGCACTTCCATGTTTACTTTCATTAGCATACAGGCATCTGTTAAATATACGTACAGTACTGGAAAGAGTTTGAAGTCATCCCTTGTTTCTTTTATGTTTTACTTTCACGGAAGAAAATTAGATTCTTGTCTCTAAAACCTTTTCCTTGGACTTTTTATTTTAATTCCTGGTGATTTTGTCAACAAAAATTATACCAGATCAACAAATACTTATTTACAGAAAACAAACTTCAAAAGATGTAGATACATCAGACCTGAAATGTTTTTTTCTCATGCTATTTTTCTCAAAATAGCAAGGACCTGACAGAGGACAGACAGTCATTACTTTTTTGATGTCTATGTCAATAAAGAAACTTGTTGATTCATTAAAATAAAAAAAATAAAAAATTCTGTCATAATCATAAAGTGTTTTTAAGAAAATGCTTCTGGCATACCTTGCACAATCTGTTCACAAAACAAACAAAAATAGATAAATGGAATTAGGTAAAGCGTTAAAGAAGCAAAGGGTCTGAGGAAGACGGGCAAATCCAATATGCTGCTTTTATTTAGGTGTTTGTTTTGGAGATGAAATTAGCAGCATTGACTTATAACTAAGGGTAGCAAAATATTTAATTGTCACAATATCTGATTATATGTGAGTCGTTTTCAAAGGACTGGATTTTCTATTGCACCTCATAAACACTTTGCATGCCAGTATAAAAATATAGCGTAATGGATGGAGTCTATCTGCTGGAGATGCCCACAATTCAATGCATTCATGATAATTATTAAAGATGCAAAAGGTCAGAAAGGCCGTTAGAGGCAGAAGTATCCCAATCAAAGATCCTAATATTGGGAAGGCTTATTTTGCTGTATTTAATGAAAGAGTTTGCGTAGAACATTCTGTCTGTATGATTAGATTGAATTATCTCTGTAAAGTGTCTCTGGCTGAGACATGGTGTCAGTTGGTGCTATATACAGGTGCTGGTCATAAAATTAGAATATCATGAAAAAGTAGATTGATTTCAGTAATTCCATTTAAAAAGTGAAACTTGTATATTATATTCATACATTACATACAAACTCATATATTTCAGATGTTTATTTTGTTTAATTTT